TCATTATTCATTCTACCAAAGCAATATACCAAGTCTGCAGGGGTCTCTTTTCAACATACTAATTGTGCAGCCCGGATTACTATTCATTCTACCAATCCAATATACTAATTAGTGTGCAGGGGATCATTATTCGACACACTAAATGTGCAGGGATCATTATTCATTCTGCCAAATCAATATACTAAGTCTGTAGGGGATATCTATTCAATATACTATATATGCAGGGGATCACTATTCATTCTACCAATTCAATATACTAAGTCTGTAGGGGATCTCTTTTCAACATACTATATGTGCAGGGGATCACTATTCATTCTACCAAATCAATATACCAAGTGTGCAGGGGGTCTCTTTTCAACATACTATATGTGCAGGGGATCACTATTTATTCTACCAAATCAGTATACTAAGTCTGTAGGGGATCTCTTTTCAACATACTATATGTGCAGCCCGGATTACTATTCATTCTACCAATCCAATATACTAATTAGTGTGCAGGGGATCATTATTCGACACACTAAATGTGCAGGGATCATTATTCATTCTACCAAATCAATATACTAAGTCTGTAGGGGATCTCTATTCAACATACTATATGTGCAGGGGATCACTATTCATTCTACCAATCCAATATACTAATTAGTGTGCAGGGGATCATTATTCGACACACTAAATGTGCAGGGATCATTATTCATTCTACCAAATCAATATACAAAGTGTGTAGGGGATCTCTATTCAACATACTATATGTGCAGGGGATCACTATTCATTCTACCAATCCAATATACTAATTAGTGTGCAGGGGATCATTATTCGACACACTAAATGTGCAGGGATCATTATTCATTCTACCAAATCAATATACCAAGTGTGTAGGGGATCTCTTTTCAACATACTAAATGTGCAGGGGATCACTATTCATTCTACCAATCCAATATACTAATTAGTGTGCAGGTGATCATTATTTAAAACACGAAATGTGCAGGGATCATTATTCATTCTACCAAATCAATATACTAAGTCTGTAGGGGATCTCTTTTCAACATACTAATTGTGCAGGGGATCACTATTCATTCTACCAATCCAATATACTAATTAGTGTGCAGGGGATCATTATTCGACACACTAAATGTGCAGGGATCATTATTCATTCTGCCAAATCAATATACTAAGTCTGTAGGGGATATCTATTCAATATACTAAATGTGCAGGGGATCACTATTCATTCTACCAATCCAATATACTAATTAGTGTGCAGGGGATCATTATTTAACACACGAAATGTGCAGGGATCATTATTCATTCTACCAAATCAATATACCAAGTGTGTAGGGGTCTCTTTTCAATATACTATATGTGCAGGGGATCACTATTCATTCTACCAAATCAATATACAAAGTCTGTAGGGGTCTCTTTTCAATATACTATATGTGCAGGGGATCACTATTCATTCTACCAAATCAATATACCAAGTGTGCAGGGGGTCTCTTTTCAACATACTATATGTGCAGGGGATCACTATTCATTCTGCCAAATCAATATACTAAGTCTGTAGGGGATATCTATTCAATATACTATATATGCAGGGGATCACTATTCATTCTACCAATTCAATATACTAAGTCTGTAGGGGATCTCTTTTCAACATACTAAATGTGCAGGGATCATTATTCATTCTACCAAATCAATATACAAAGTCTGTAGGGGATCTCTTTTCAACATACTAATTGTGCAGGGGATCACTATTCATTCTACCAATCCAATATACTAATTAGTGTGCAGGGGATCATTATTGGACACACTAAATGTGCAGGGATCATTATTCATTCTACCAAATCAATATACTAAGTCTGTAGGGGATCTCTATTCAACATACTATATGTGCAGGGGATCACTATTCATTCTACCAATCCAATATACTAATTAGTGTGCAGGGGATCATTATTCGACACACTAAATGTGCAGGGATCATTATTCATTCTGCCAAATCAATATACTAAGTCTGTAGGGGATATCTATTCAATATACTAAATGTGCAGGGGATCACTATTCATTCTACCAATCCAATATACTAATTAGTGTGCATGGGATCATTATTCAGCACACTAAATGTGCAGGGATCATTATTCATTCTGCCAAATCAATATACAAAGTCTGTAGGGGATCTCTTTTCAACATACTAATTGTGCAGGGGATCACTATTCATTCTACCAATCCAATATACTAATTAGTGTGCAGGGGATCATTATTCGACACACTAAATGTGCAGGGATCATTATTCATTCTGCCAAATCAATATACTAAGTCTGTAGGGGATATCTATTCAATATACTAAATGTGCAGGGGATCACTATTCATTCTACCAATCCAATATAGTAATTAGTGTGCAGGGGATCATTATTCAGCACACTAAATGTGTAGGGGATCACAACTCATTCTACGAAATTAATATCAATATTTTAAGTGTGTGAGGAATCACGATTCAGCATACTAGATGTGCAAGAAATCACTATTCAATATACTAAATACATGTATATGGGATCACTATTCAACAAACTGAATATTTAGGGTATCACTATTCAACACATCAAATGTTCTGAATTTGAGTTGTCCCAAAGAGTTTGTTAGAATAAGGCCTTTTCTAGATTTATTGCGTCGATGTATTCATTGATTAACCTTTAATTAATTTATGCTGAGTGTGTTGTTAGAGCAGATTTAATAAAAGGTTATCAAGCAATATATTAAAATGAATTTCTGTTTCTTTTCTTTCATGTACGTCCATGACATGATAAAAGCACTGCTATCATAACCTTGCGTCATACTTTTTAAAAAATGTAATTTTTATCTTTACGCAGTAATTTCTCTAAACAGGAATATTCCCGGGTGAGAAGTTTCTTCTGCCGTACTTGATAGGAACTTGTTTTCTTGAAGATTCATTTTAAATATAAGGTACACTTCATAATTGAATATGGCATTTAGCAGACACTTATATGTTGCATGCCAGCAAACCATTTATGAGTTCTAGATGAGAGAAATGTTATTCTTTGAAGTTGTAATTGTCAGAAACATTTCTGCTTGCTTTACCTTGATCAAAAAACTATGTGTAATATTGAACAAATATGGACAGTTTATGATTCATGTATGAATCTTCTGAGCATGAACAAATCAGAATGAACAACCTGCTTGCGCATAGAAAAATCAAAAATCAGCTTTAAATGGCTCAAATACCAATGGACGGATTTACATTAAAACCTGTGTATATTGAACATAAAGTCGAGAGCTTGTGAGGAGGTGGTCACAAGAGAGAGGTGTTCACTTAGACAGATTTTACTGTATGTTGATACCTAGGGACAAGGGAGCTCTCAAGAAGAAATTTAAAAGATGGCCATTATTTATCAAATTGTGTTTTATTGGGTGAGATTTGCTACTTTGTGGAGTTGCTGTTTTCGAATTAAAAATTAAATTGTAATTATGTAGTTATGTAATCTTAACCACGCTATATAAAACTATTACATATTTACTCAAAAACATTTTAAATCAATTTAATGTTACTTATACTTTGATATGAGGAGAGGTTAAGTGAAAACATATTTATTGTAAATTGATATACATTAATAGATTTCCTCACTCTATAATAATTGCAGCACTTAATAATACTATTAATACTATTGTTATTTATGATATATAGGTACAGTACAACATTGTTTATACCTCACTTACTCGCTATAATTAATAGTCATTGATAAAAATGATATCATCACATATTTTTATTATAACTAAAGATATGAAAGAATGTACACAATTAATTAGGGAGTTCAGTATATCAATAAAATGTATTTTTATTTTTGTTTTTGTAATTCTAACATTGCCATCTGTGTTTTCCAATAAGACTTTTTATGAATCTGAGCTACAAACTATTTGACATTTTCTAGATTTCTCAAGCAGACAAAAATCAGAAGAGAAAATAGAATTCCAAGATTAAAGACAATAATTAGTTAAAGGCGTCAGGCAGCTGTCTCTTATTAGATGTATGTGGCGGTCGTTTGTTGTGCTTCAGAGCCGCATTGAACATTTTAACATTAAGGTCAAACCATCAAGGCACAAGGCTAATTTAAAATGAAAACCTATCATTGATTTCTCAGGTAGCTTGATCTGAAGTACAATATCAATGTTATCAAGAACATGAAATAATTTTACGGAAGAAAGGTTAATCCTTTTGATGTTGTCAACGTTACTTAAGAAAACAAAAACAAAAAAATTCTCAAATCAGCTCACATTTGCATTATTACAAAAAATTTCAGACGAATATTGAATCTGTTTGATGTAATCATTTAATCATGGATTGATATAGAAATATATTGCTTCATACGTTAAAGACACCTGAGGCTCACACCTGACAATCTGCACCTTAAGATCATGTGTGGCCCTTCAAGGCAAATCAGTCATTGGTTTTATAGATCCTTTAAGGCTAAAAGAATCATGCTAGAACACCATACATGCCATATGATAGAGAATCTATTTGTTCAGCATTAAGGACATATTATTAAATATCTGAATATGGGTATTGGATATTAAATCTTAAACATTTTATATCACACCAGGGGGGAGCCTGACAAAAATTATTGATTGCTGCTCCTGGCCTAAAAGTCTGTTTATTTATTCTTCTTTCTTTGACTATTTTCTAGAATTCACCGAAACTACATTGTTAAATCATTTCTACACTTTTTCATGGATGATGTGTTATTTCAATTGGTAATGAATATGGAGGATGGGATCTAATCCTTCGTTAAATTACTTTCGCTAGACATAAACATTGATATTTTCATTCATACCTTTGGGAATTTCACTTTATTTAATGAACAATATCAGCGTATTAACATCACACTCATAGTATTTGTGGTATTCGAAAACACCTTTCCCTTGTACAATAGGTATATCATTAATGGATATTCTGTGTTAGAGAACACTTACTCTAAAGAATTGTTTTATTTTGCTTGCAGATAACAGCACTAAGAGACAATAAAGAACAATCCATGATGGATGGGACAGCATTTTTTCTGCATGTCAAATGGACACATCTTATTTGGAATAATCAATGGTCTCGCTGATGTACATACAGTCAGACAGTTGGGTTACTGAAACCATGTATCATTTAGTCACTGGGGAATATATAAATCACTCAGGAAATGAATACATGTGAAAATTTCTATATTGGATAATTATACACCTAAATCCTAGAATGCAAATGAAATATTCATATAGGCTGGACATGTAGCTGGTTGCAAAGGATTATATCAAGGAAATGGTGCCAATTGAAGGAGGAAAATCAAATATATTGTTGAGATATGAACATGTACACAAATATAACGTTACCAGTTGAAAATGTTTCCGTAGTATCTGGACCACCTGATGTGTATCTTCCACATGCTGAACCTACGCTGGATTGGCCGCAAGCCTTCCAAATATGGCATTGGGCATGGCCGTTACATATGTACCTGCTGGGGTCATGGTTCTCTGGCTTAGTAATATACACTTGCGTATCACTTCTGAACCTTCGTAAGAAAATTCGCAGCAATAGATATCTCATTCTCATCGATATATTCGTCCTAATGGCTGCTTTACTGCGCTGTTTGTATTTATTTCTCGACCCATATGAGTCGACTCAGAGTGTGCCAACCGTGGTATCCAAGCTTGCGTATGCTTTAGTGTTCCCTTGTCTAACAGGGGCATTCAGTTATATCCATATTATGTTCCTGAAGATCACCAAGATGCATTTCCAATCAAACAGGTTACAGACTGAACATTGTCTCCTTTGTTTCATCATTGGACACTTCAGCATTGTTGTGGTTATCTACACAATAGTGTCCTTTGCCCCACAGCTTAAGCTTCTTATCCTTATCGCTCAGACTGTGTTCATATTCTGGGGCTTGTTTCTATGTGCCAACTTCATCTACAGTGGATTCAGAACATCACAATACGCCACAGAAACCCAGCGGGCACTCAGAGAGTTGACACAATACAGCAAGGAAAGAAAATTATCAAAAGATAGCTCCTCGAATATGAAAGTCCTTCGATTGACCAAACCCAAACTTGTGATAGATGAAAGTCATTATGATTTCATGACGGACACCTCAAGTGAATCAAATACAGTGTCTTATTTCAATGAGTCTGCCATAGACAGACCAGGAGGGGGCAGAGTTCAGCAAAGTGGTACAGTGGAGAGTACATTTACAATCCCTTCACCAGCTCAGGAGAATATACTTGGTGTTGAGGTTGACACACGTCATGATCTCACTTTTGATAGCAGGACTTGCAACTCTAGTGAAACTGACTCTGGGGCTATCGCTCCGCAGCCTATTTCCAACTCAACTAAACTAACACGTAAGGCATCTAATCCCACAACTCGCTCCCTCCGTAGATCTAGTTGCTCTGATGCCATCAGGTTGGTGCGACTGTTCCATCAACGTGGTTATGAGAAGTCCAACTGCTCAAGCACTAGTAGTGTGTTCACCATAGATGATAATGCCAACTCCCATGGATTTAAGGCTGCAAATGGCCATATAAATAGCCTTAAAGCAGAGACTGACACAATTGGGGAGGAGAGAGGTTATATGGCTGATACTGACTCACCAATAAGAAGACCCAAACGATATAAACATAAGGGTAAACATAAAATAGATCACCAGGAAGTGCAAACAATCGGTGACAGTCCTGAACATCGTCTGTACCAACTGAAAATGGGTAGTGAGACAATAATGAGTTTGTACAGGATACGCCAGGGTCGGGTGTTACACAGAGTTCTGAAGGTGGCTTACTTTACGGCACTCTGTGGCTTTCTGTGCTGTGTTCTACAGATCTATGCAATGTTTGGGGAGTATGGTGTCTTGTCTACTGTTGTCAGTCCCGAGCCGTGGCCTTGGTACGTCTTCCAGTCATGTGCTAGGTAAGTAGATGGATGAATGATACGACGATGACATCATCATCATTTTGTTAAAGATTGCATCTCAATTTACAGCGTTTATTTACACTTAACTTTCACTTTGGCAAATATCCCTTGGGTTTACAATACGTTTATAAAATATTTATTATGTATAATCACGATACTCTTCAGTGTCCCATATTTCATTCATATCTACATTTTCTATGATTTATTGGTATCATGGGAGAAAGCTTTTCAATAAATCAAGTCTCATATAGTTTTGTTCCTGTATTAATGTATCAACTTTTACCATTTGAATCGCTCATTCCCTTAGGCTACCAGCATTGACATTCTACTCAAAAATATCAATTTTCTTCTTATGTATTGTAATGACTTCAGTATCAATAATATTTCCCTTGGTGTCAGTATAAATGATATTTCCCTTGGTGTTATGGTCTCTAATTGTGATATTGGTACTTGAATGGTGGGGGAAGGGGGTATTAGACCCTGTTTCTTTTCTCTTTGGGTTATGATTCGAGATTTTCTTTTTTCCAGATGACTGGTGTACTCTAAGGTGTTTTCTTTTTCTTGTAGTGTTCTGTAACTATTTTTGGTAATTTCCCATTTGCATTTGTGGTTAAATGAGGGGAGGGGAGCAATCATATTGTGCACCTTCAATGTGACTAGTTGAACCAATTCACCTCATCCAGGCTCTCATGCTATGCTTTTGTGTCTCCCCATTGTCAAAAATAATAAAATGATATAATTGATTTCACACCATTGTGACTCAAACTTCACATGTCAGATTATCGTTTTATTGATGAAGACTTCTAATTGTCCAGGATTTAATTCAGATCAATTTGTTGTTGTTATCTGAGCGTTGATCGCGATGTGTTTTGGTGTTGGATGTCACTGTTATAGGGTCTTAAATACCCATTTGGGATAAGAATTACTCTGGAGATTAAAATCTAGAATACATAACTATAGATTACCACCTCTATTGAATACTGATTATATTATCTTACTGCAAAAATATTTATTCCCTGTTCCATTATTTTATTAGATGTTGGATTCTGCAGGCGCCTCAGTTGCCTTGCTTCAAGTCTTAACATTCATATTATTAGATATACAGTAAAATATGTGTTAGTGTATCACCTCTGGTACCTCAAAATTGTACCATTTGGGAGGTTCATTTTACATTAAATTAATGGGTAACTGGACTTCCACTTATAGGGGTGTTCCACTCAACAGGTTACACTGTATACACTCCAAATTATTACAGAATAAAATTTATTCAGACATTTTTTCAATTGGAACCTGGAAATGAAAAAAATGCCTGGACTATTTAAATTTGCCTCTTATTACTTGTATTGTCCCTTGTGAGTTTAACATCTTTAACTTGTGTATTTGCTTCATAAGTAGTACATACATGGCCTGTCAACTTATTGCCATAGGGTTATATTGGTTGAGCTTTCCATACATACAACCTTCCTTATTGCATGTCATTCTGGCTTACAGTATGATCAGCTATTCTATTGTTTTAATAGCATCAAAGTAATGAAAGTACACATTGTAATTGTAAGTAAGGTGTAAGGGATGCTCAAAAATATCATATGTCACGCTCTTTTGTAATATAAGTTTAGCTGAACATTGGTGCCTAGACAACTATCACATGTTAAGTTCTATCACATAAAATAAATGTTATTGTAGCATCAACTGACAATATTTTGAAAAATAGTAAGAGTGAAATAATTTTTAACTTCAAGAACAAAGACTATTTACGTAAGATATATTTCAGTTTTGACATTTCTTATCACAAGGGTGTTATCAGACTCAGAATCTCAAAGAGGGAAATATCTGGTGTATCTATAGATATTGGTTTTTGAATTATTAAGTCGAGGGAAATGGCCCCTATTTATTTCCTTATATTAAAGACCATCAAGTGTGTGTAAATCAATGGTTTAATTAACGAAGTATTAGCGATTTTAATTGGATGTGTAAGAAGTCAGGAATCCCTTCCGAGAAAGAAACATTCCTCTATTTTGTTGAAATATGTCTTCCTTATTTAAAGCGTTTATGTAAAATGCTCAATTAAGTTCACCAATTACGATTTTATCCTCTCAATAAATTTAAGTCTAGATTGAATCTGTGTGAGACTCTCAGCAGGAATAAAGAAATTGTACAAGTTCCGAATTCATTTTGGCTAAATTAATCGCTAATAGACGTCTGATTACTTTAACAGCTCAAATGATGTTGAATTGAGTGAAATGAAAACTTGGCCGAGTCTCAGTGGATCGCTAACTTCTGATTTCCTCTCGCTCCAATTATTGAAAAAATAAATGAGTTGGGGAGTACCTCTCATTTTGAATGACATTCATTAGGCTTTCATTATTCTGTAATGTGAATTATAGGATATTTATCATTGAGGAACCATTTAAATTAGATGTAACCTAAAACTTCCTCCATGTCATTCTAATGTCTAGAATCACAGAAGGAAATATTCTAAATTTTCATCATGTATTGACGAGACTGCTAGACACTACATCATTAACTCATTTTTGACATCTAAAGCTATTGCTATTAAGGAAGTGTACCTAAAGATTATACCTATGTGCTGATCATTTTACAAATAAGAAATGAAAAGGCAATACAATCTAAGCCAAATTGATGAAATCCTGCTAAAGGCACAATTATGAAGTAAGTTTCACTGAGACCAACTAAAATTAAACTGAAAATGTTATATTTAAATTGTACATTTTTCTTCAAACTAATTCTCAAATTTGAGTATGTGCTCGGCATACATATATTCTGAGAATGTGTAGATCATTTTGAAAAAAAATTGGTTAATATGAAGCAAGTTCGAAAATGACCTTGTTAGTTTTTTTACCTTGATAGGGTCATTGAAGGTCAAATCTGAAATCAAAAGTAAGATTTGAACTTCTCAAACTTTGTAGATGATTTTGAAAAAATATTTGGCTGATTTGGATCAAGTTTGAAAAATACCCTTTTGACCTTTTCTTCCTCAACCTTAAGAATGTCATTGAAGGTCAAATCTTAAGTCAGAATTGTACTTTTGAGAACTTGAAGATGATTTTGAAAAAAGGTCAATTTGAAGCAAGTTCGAAAAATAGCTTTTTGACTTTTTTGACATTGAGATGGTCATTGGAGGTCAAATTTAAAATATAAAGTCAGAATTAAACTTCTGAGAACTTGTAGATGATTTCATGGGTTAATGAATGGGATTTGAAAAATTTCACAATGCATGTCATTCAGAGCGAATGGAAATGGTCTGAAGCACTCTGTTCAAAAAGAATTGAGATATCTAATCAAATATAGAAGTCAATATAGAATATAGAATAGAAGTTAATATAGAATAGAAGATATAAGATGCTAATTGTCCAAAATTAGAATTAAAGCAGATAACATTGAAAGCAATAAAGTCAGAACTCTCAGATTTTTTATTAGAAATAGCCATTTGAAGTGGAAGGAGCACAATGTAAAATTGTGACAATCTTTTTCAAAACTTAATCTCAACTATCTCTATCCCTTTTCTGTAAAATCTGTAAAATGGAACACCTCTATAAATGGAACACCTCTTTAATTGGAACACTTTCCAGAGTACCATGACCAACTGACTCAATGATAAATGAACGTTGGTTATTGGAACCATTGGAACACCCCCAAAGTGGAACACTTTCTAGAGGTACCAAAAGTGTTCCTCTTACACAGGTTTTACTGTACTTCCTTAAGTGGTGTTCATCAAGCTAAACAATGTTTGTGTTGCAAGATTTTATCACAAGATATCTTTCAGAAATATGCATGAATTCATTCACCTCTAATAATGGCTCAGTATATGGTTCAGTGACTCTAACTGTCATTCAAATTCAATTATTTGATTGAAAATATATGTACATTCTGAGATATTCCTACACTTACAAACCCAATTCTGGATAGATTGATAATAGTTATACAATCATTGAGTATTCCAAATGTCTGTATGACGCTATAATTGTGACAGGCTTGACATGGACTTTAGAATAGATTGAAGAGAAAATTGTCTAAATAATTTACAATGGGATTTAGATCTGATGCAATTCTGTCTTTATTATTAAAATACAGCAAAATGCTATAGAGTCCTCATTAATCATGACATGATGAATGTATATTTTAGATAAAAAAGAATCCTGCCCTTTCAATGTTCTTGCTCTTGTCCAAACATGCAAATATTTATCATATGGTTTTAAATGTTGCATTGAAATACAAATATGTTAATAGTGTTATTGACTTGGGTTAAAATTGTCCTAGCAGTGTGGAGGTCATGTCCTCAAAGGGTCACTAAAGGTCACATAAATCAGATTGGAAATGGAATCTACTTGATGATTTTTGTTTTTTATCAGTTGTGATTGTATTTAAAACCATTTGTCCCAGATATCTAAAATGCATTTTTATGTCACCACATTCTTATAGTCTCAAACGTTTTTGTGTTTGGCATTCGATGGTTGGTTCGATGGATTCAGTGGTCAGCATCTGTAACAAATGACAGGTGGTGACATTTTGCATGTTAATGTCTTGTATACCTTGAGGGACCCAGAAATTACCATTTACATGTAGGTCCTAATTGTTATATGACCCTTTGACCTTTTAAGAATCATCTTTCTTACCATCTTGGGTCTCATTTGACCAGGATCTGTATGAGCTAAATTTTAGTGAAGTGTTTTAGGATTTGAAAAACTTTGTTTGAACTAGTATTTTACCCATGACTTTGTAATATAAATTTCAGACTTTGGTAAAGCCTCCTTAACTACCTTGTACCTTGTTTGATACAACCCCTTTAGAAAATCCTGAAAATGTCAATTCTGTTTCATTGTATGGGAATGAGTTGTCTCATCCTTGGATGTTTTGAAACACTTAAAGATTCTCTCATCCACTTCACATATCCCTTATGGTTTTAATCCTTATTACAAATATTCACACCCTTTCATTATGTTTGTCACATTGTATTTGAAGAGTCTCCTGTGTGAACAATAGCAGGATTTATTTGCAAAATGAAAACAGGATCGATTGCACACATTTCTGAGAGAGGTGCCATCATGGTGAATGATGTGTTAAAGGATTTAGGCCCAGGGCTCAATGAATTTTGAATTATTTTAAGGCAAAATATTTTACATCAGACTTTGAATCATGCAGGGTGAGAGCTCAATTCAAATGGAAAGATACTGAGATACAAGACATTGTACATTAAATTACACACAGTGTGTGTTAAAATTCTTTCATACATTGCAAAAGATGTTAGACAGTTTACCTCTAAAAAGAAATTCAACCAGAAACCTTGTTGAAAGGCAGAAGTACGGAAACAACATATTATATGTGATTTGATTCTCGGGGGGGGGGTCATAATACATGTATAAACCAACTTGGAAATATGTGTGCATTTGAGTAACCCATTTCATATATTTGCTTTCAGGGTGGCAGAGCTTGGGATGCTCTCAACTATGGCATATATCACCTTTACCACTGGCAAATACAAGCGGAAGAGAAGAGGCAGGAAACGCAATATACATTCAGAAGACAGATAAACTTTTGCCAAGTTATGGGCACTTATTTCAATGTTAAATGTTGAGTCCTTTTTGGTCTATTTTGAGACAATTAAGGGGTTGACTCAATATCTTATGAGTAAAAATGTTTCGATGTGATTTATTGAAAAACTAATTGAACCCTGACTTACACTGGGATGTGAACATTTTGGCAAAGATGAAGCAACTACATACCAATCTGATTCAAGGTCATTTGAATCGACCTTTATTGTAATTCTTCATGTGGAGAGTATATCACTGTGTAATTTCTTAACTTAACTTAATAAGGATCGCCAATCGTGAAAAATGTAATAGATTTGAACTCTAAATTACTGGTGGACTGTATGATTGACCTTAATATCACCTTCCTGGATCGTATGATTAACCTTAATATCATCTTTGTTCACTCGGCTCCCTTTGGTCGGAGATGCCTTATAATAGTGTGTCTTATTGCCAATAGTACTTTCAAATTCTTCACCCATGAGATTCTATTTGCCGACCTTATAGTACTACTGTAATACGATCCAAAGAAGTAAATGATGTCTAATGAACTATAGTCTTGTAATTACAATGTATGGGTGACTTGAAGTAAAGGGAATGAGCAACAGTGATGTCCTGTTGCATGAACCATACAATACTGGCAATTAAGGGGATCAAATTACCCGTAACTAACTTTGAATCTTTAAAGAGGATTCGTTTCCAAATGATCTCAGTTTGTAATATGATGAGGCAGACATAATGAATAAATTGGACAATGCAAAAGAAACTGTAAATTGATACATTTTGTTCTGTCGTACTGTTTTTTGATTTAGTATGATGACAAAAACATGTAGCTTTTATATGATGTTTATCCACATTTCACATGAAACCAAGAGACAATTAAGGGAGAAATTTTGACAATTTAAAAAACTGAGCTCATTGGCCTATCCTTTGTTGCGCCTTTTGAGGTCAAGGTCAAATTCTTAGAGAAAAATTGGCAATAAATTGAAATATTTAGCTGTGAAGGTAACTGATTTCTTTGTTCAGGAAGATTTCAAATCATGCAGAATTTCTTTTGTTTTGTTGTAATAACTTTTCATCAGCTTAGCCAATATATCAGGTTTCTCAATATCCTCACGTCACAAATGTCTGTATGCAAAATGTAACCTTATTAAGATACAAAATAACTGTAATTCAATTGACATCCACTTCATCTTGTTATACAGTTTCATTTGTTCCTACATCTTGTTAAATGTCAGGACATGAAAGAATGTAACTCAATTAGAGAACCTGGTCAAATGTCACAAATGGAGTCATCAATGTATTAGCTTGTGATCAAACAATGTCATCCCAAAGGAGAATGGGTGATAATAAGGTTAGTGCTCTCTCAAAGAACCTTTAACATATTATTATTGCTACAGCATCTAGGTGTTATTGTTCAATATTAACATTAGCCTACTTTGGTGAGCTGAGGACATTAGGACTTGAATGTCCTGTTATTTTAACTTACAAGACTCTCCTTTGTCTACCATTGACACTAGGCAGAAAGAAGGGATGCGACTTATAACAAGGCAAAGGATTCCCAAGATTCCCAGATTGTTGATTCAATTACAGAAAAACAATGATTAGTATAGTTTTCCCCCTCGATATTGAATCATCTGCAACTGCTCTCAAATACTTTCTTCAGCAAAGTATGATAAAAATGAGATGGTTAAACAAATAAGACACATAATGATAAATATTGCACTTTAAAGAGCAAAATGGCTGTCATGTAATTTACCCAGCATGCCCAAAGTCTAACCAGATGTGGACAGATATCACTGGTGATCCGCTCGATTACGCTGGTTACCGAAACGGTTCGTTTTGGTAACAAAATGTCGGAACGTCGAAGGTACGATTTTTCTCTTTTCCTTATTTCACGCATTGTAGGCAGAATCCCAACAACATTTTTTCTCACAAACGTGTATCAGCATCATATGTCGTGAGAATTCTGCCTACATCGTGTGAAATAAGGAAAAAAGAAAAATAGTACCTTCGATGTTCCGACGTTTTGGTAACCAGCGTAATCGAGTGGATCACCAGTGGATATGCAGTTTTCCAGGAATTTTGAGAACAAAAATGTGGCACCCACATGCCAAGCAGCACAAGACAATTTCAGTATAGCACTTTTCAAAGTGTGATAAAAGAACAATGTTTCTACATATGTAAGTAAAATAAGATAAATATGAATTCAATAAAAACAATTATCATAAGGGATGTTGTAACATAAAAGAAGCAATTATTTCTTTGAATGTGTTGTGTAACAGAACCTTCAAAGGAAACTTCATAGGAAATGTTATGCCTCGTATCAAGTGAAGTATTTATCTAGGAGACTCAGTGAAGTTCATAGCTGTTTCAATTGATGAATAGATATCTAGGAATAGAGAAGAATCAATGAGAGAATCAAAGGTGTTGGCACTGCATTCAAACATAAGAAATGAAAGGTTTGTATTTGGTTTCAGTCCAGAATCAATGCCATATTGTTGTAGGTTTTAAAGAATTCGATACTCAATTATTTGGATATCCGCTTGCATAAAGAAGCTATTAACACAGTGACATAACAGCAATTTTTTATTGCATGCAAATCCCTGTGCTTCCTTCTAACATTCTACAGTACAATAAAATCCTGTGTATTTGAAAACCGTCCTATTTTTAGGATTGACTGAAATATATAGGATTATAGGCTATGGGCAATTGGCATTCAGTTCTGCCATGTAATTTATGTCATAACCAGAACGTACAAAATATCCCAAACAGAAAATGTTAAGCCATAAAGACCATTTAGTCCAGACATTGATAAAATAAGAGGTATTTAATAAACATTCAATACTAAAATAAACATTGAACACATGGATGCCTTGTCAAAAATAATAGTCTCTGATTTTTCTTCAGGAAACAGATTATACAAGGAAATTTAATGAGAGAAGTGTTGTTTAGTCCTATGAATAGTTCGATTCCTTCATTTAATCAAGTGGATTTTATATTGTGAAGCATGAATGGTGTCATGTCCGTGACACACACAACACACACTAGTGGGAAATTCTACATTAAGTGTGGATTAAGGTTTTCATCATCATCAGTTGTCACATTACATTAACCCACTGAATTGAAATGTTAAATGCGTTAGACATGAACAAGGGACTAAATCTGTGATAGGAAAATGGAAAGACAAGGCATTTACATGACAAAATGTCACCACCGAGTTGCTCACAATATAATTAGTTCAATCTTAAGTCAGGTTTGAATTTCTAAGATCTTGTTGATGATTTTGAAAAAAAATTGGTGAAATTTGAAGCAAGTTAAAAAAATACCTTTTTGCACTGAGAAGGTCATTGAAGGTGAAATCTCAAATCTAAAGTCAGATTTGAACTTCTGAGAACTTATAGTTGATTTTAAAAAAATTAATCAATTTAAAAAAGGCCTTTTGACCTTGAGAAGGTCATTGAAGGTCAAATCTTTTTTGACCTTGAGAATATCATTGAAGGTCAAAATCTATAGTCAGAGTTGAAGTTTTGAGAACTTGTAGATGATTTTGAAAAAATGGTCAATTTGAACCAAGTTGAAAAAAAGACTTTTTTGACCTTGAGAAGGTTATTGAAGGTCAAATCTCAAATCTAAAGTCAGATTTGGACTTTTGATAACTTGTAGATGATTTTGAAAAAATGGGTCAATTTGAATTGAGTTGAAAAATACATTTTTGACCTTTTTTAACCAAGGTCATTGAAGGTCAAATCATAAATAATAAAGTCAGATTTGAACTTCTGAAAACTTGTAGATGATTTTGAAAAAAACTGAAGTCAGTCTAAACAGTATTTGTTTAAGTTATTGGAAGTTGTAAGAATTTGTTACAGATGCCAACTGCTGATCGCCAACCGCCGAAAAATATGTTGGAGATCTTTTATCACTAACTTGTGTTTTTGAGTTGAAATGAAAAATGAAAAACATCTGACAGATCATAGATGAGGGACATCATCATGTCTTTTTTTACAATGGCAACTTTTGATTATTACTATGTATTTTTTTAATATTATTACTATGGGCTTTCAAGAGACCCATGTTGTTATAACAACATATTAAATAAACAAAACAATGATTCCATAGGTAATATACCACATTCATATATGCATTTATTTACTTTATCTTAAAAAAGAATTTCATTACATGATTATAGAAAATATATGCTATCCCATACTACACCCTAGGAACCCAAGAGAACCATCCCACATAAAACATGAAAATGCTCTATGAAATTCAGAAAATAAAAAGACTTGATTTTGAAAGTATAAAGGCCACCCTTACTCAATTGGAATTTGGCTGAATGGCCAAGAAGGCATGCCTTTCATTAGGTTCAAACCAAAATATGATTTTTGTGAAAATATTTTCATGAAGAATTATATCAATTTCTTGTTATGGCCACAAAAAAAACATTTCACACGAGATAAATTCATGCAAAATCTTCAAAATATGTTTCATATTTTGAATCTGGAGCTCATATCTTATTCTGATTCTCTTCATTATTTTTTGCAAATTGCAAATGTTTTATACTTTAGAGGCAATTTTAGGGATTATTTTTAAATATATGAAGAGATCTTTCATAAACTAACATCTACACCCACTGAAGGGGGAGAAGAGTGGAAAATATATTACACCATGAGATATTGAGAAGTTATTTTAATAAAGTATTTTAGTCGTAATGTAAGTTCTCCTTAGTTCTCACCCATCAACAGAGAATCTTTCCATTTTAATGTTAGCACCATAGTCATATTACATTATCAGTATATTAGGCTATTTTATTTTGAATTACATTTACTTGAATTGCATCTTTTAAAATAACAAGAGAGAGGCATTGATTAATATATGAGTCCCAAAACTTCTGATATTTTATCTAACACTTGGTGATTAGTCATGCTTCAACTATATAAAATAGTCTCAGTAAATGTATTTCAGATCTCTTATTTACTTTGGTTGTAGAACCCAAAATGTTTATTTCAAAAAGTAGTTTATTCTGTTAAAGCAAATAATTATTTTGGCAATAAATTAGCTTTTTAACTTGGCAAATATCTGAATATTGCGAAAAAATAATGATTTTACATGTTTCATAAAATTAAGGCAATGAACAACCTTTCCCAGAATGCTTTTACAGAACAAATATGCATATTCAAGATTTATCATTAACAAAAACATATTTCTCAACACAAGTATTAACACAGAGTGTATTATGTAAGCCCACTAATACAGTTATTCAAGATACAGAAGAGACTTTGGTTGATATATTGGAAAGATATGTTCCTTCATTACATAAGTTTAGTTGACTGATTTTTACCCTCATATCTTTATAAAAGACAAATATTGCATCAAGGTATTTGATTACTTAGTCTGAAGAATAGGATTCATCTGAACTTCCTTAATAGTATATATTTAAATACTTGCTCAAATAAATTAACACTTTTGCATTGTCCAGATTCTGATATTTGCAGACTAGAGAAGACATGTGATAACACTCTACCTTGCCTAACACCGATTAGGCTGTAACAGTGCTTTCCTTATCTGCCACTTCTGTATCAACCTCAAAGTCATCTTTGTCTATAATTTCATACCCATTACCATTGCTATTGTCACTCCCAGATTTCTCACTTCCAGATTCGTCTTTCTCATCATCAGCCTTAACAATGTCATCTTTAATATCTTTTTCTTCAGGCTTGGATTCAGCCGTTTTATTCTTTTCTGTGTTTTTATCTGATTTCTTTGAATCTTTTTCACTGTCTCCACCTTTATACTCATATTGATAAAGGGGTACAAAAGACTCGAAAAATCCAACATCCTCTGTTAAATTTGGTAACATCCAGAAATGATGGCCGCCAAATGTGCAAACCCAGATTAGACAAAACAGGATAAATCGAACTGAAAAAGAGGAAAAGCACGTAAATAAAAGCCATATACACACATCATCTTTGATTTCTTAGTCAACATTTTGTAAAAACATCAATTTTTTAATTTAAAATAAGGAAACTGAAATTTTGTTTTTCTACAAAATACATAAAACTAAACTGAAAACATTACAATTTTAACAGTATTCAGGGAAAAGGTAACTGAATTTTATACCTTCCTGGGGGCCATTAACAGAAACTTCGTAAAGTTAAGAATTTGTAAAGCTGTGACATCATTATATCCATGGTTACAACAATTGATTTACGAATTCATAACTTTACAAAGTTTCTGTTAATGACCCCCAGATTACTAGTTTACTACTCATAACATACCAATTCTATATAAACATTTCTACATAAGACTTGTACTTACTACAAATATAATATATTCAGTAATCAAACAAGTGACATCTATATGAACATACAGAAGGTATACTTACCAACACACAGACCAAGTATGACTCCTACAAATCCTGCAGCAGCCAAACTCAGGTAGTAGACCCCTAATCTCACCTCTGGAGGCCATAAGGGGAACAAGCATACTGCAATTGCTCCAAGCACTGCAAACATATTCATGTTGTAACTTATCTTTAGTATTAAAGTTAAATGATGTATTGTAAAATGCTGAAATCTGCTCATGATCAAAAATTGTGCCAATGATTCCCTTACTATCCTTATTTTATTATCTGAAAAAATTGATATATCTGATCAAGTATAAAGATTATAGAAGATTTAAGGAGCAGAAATGCAAAAACTCATTCGAATCAAAATTTACATCCACTTTTCAAAATCCTCGTCAATTCTCTAACACTGGGGGGATCATTGCGTTGTATTCTCCCAGAATAAATCGAGATGACATCATCTACCATCGAGCATCAGTTGGTCAAGTGGTAGAGAGCAACTTCACTTATAAATGTTCATGCCCCAACACCATGTCACTAGAATCATGTTGTTATTCACTTACCAAGAAGTAGTCCTATGATAAATGTCTTCGGTGGAACAGGATCGTAAATCCAAACATAAAACTGCAATAAAACAAACAATGATACGGTTCAAACTGTATTCTAGTCTTTGTTTTACTATTTAATTCTTATAGAACTATCATGGAATCATACTACTTTATTTACAATTTGGTAAGTAAGACAAGAATGTGCAATATAATAGTTAACCATGGGGGATTGGACGTGGGTTACATTACAAATCGAATTAACAGAATAAGAATATAAAATGTATTTAAAATGTATTCAACCCTATAATCAATCAAATGATCAAAATGTTATACAAATGAGCTAAATCTCTCAACTGATCTTAATACTCAAGCTACCTAAATCACTAACTGATCTTGTACTCAAGCTACCTAAATCACTAACTGATCTTGTATTCAAGCTACCTAAATCACTAACTCACTTAAGACCAAAACCACAAATGCTTAAGGCTGTGCACCTAGTTTGTACCCCAGAGCTTATAAAATAAGGTATACAGTCTCTGAGTGCTAGCCATACATCTTTAGTACGCACACAGTGTCTCCATGTCTTTACAGTTCAAAATCAAGGCTAGCACTGGTGATTTGGAAAGTAAATGCAATCAAGGTTAATCCCCTTGCATGTGCACACTGTGTGTAAATCAAAGCTATTCTCCTAGCAGGGTTTGAAAATATAATTGAAATACATAAAAATATAACTCTCCACAGTAGGGTTTGAAAATCTAAAACATCCTGTCACAACTGCAATGCATAAAATAATTTGATTTGAAACTGAAACATTTGCTATATTGAATGCAGAAACTTTCTGACAACCTTTCAATACGAACAATTCTCTCACGAGCCTAATAATTAATCCAACAGTTTACCTCTTCTCCATCTACGAATGTCTGTTCATCATGCATTGCTAATTTATACTTTTTCTCCTTCTTCTTTTTCTTATCATCCTCCTAGAAAAAAAATGTTAAGAAATATTTAGAATCAGAAATTCAGAGCAAATTTATGTATGTATTCAGTGATTGTGTCTGTTATTCCTCCTTGTCGAACATATTTTCTAATGGTCTGATGCGTTAAATTGTTTGCTTAAATATGGATATCAATATTTGTTACAGTATATTGCCCAAAATGCTCTTGGTGAGGATTAGAAGGCCAAATTCTTAAGATAAGATGACCAGTACAATTCCATCATAATGATAATATCATTAGGGGCTGTAGGTCCATATTAATTTGTGATATTATGTTTGAAATGGTGAAGGTGACATTGTTTAGAAAATTCTATAGTATGATATGCTTGCAATTTTGTTTCTTCCCTATTTATCTGGTTTTAACTTTATATAGGGTAGCCAAACTCAAATTATATAGCTAGTTAAGAGCCACTGACATTGATATTGCCAATGGTGAAAAAAATATCCTAAATTCAGTTTGATGTGGCATGGCGTGTTTATAAAGAAATGTTCCTATATTATGATTTTTTTTTTGAATTTCATTGTATAAAACTCAAAACTGTAAAAAATTATTTCATACAACTGAGTGCTTAGATGCTTTAAATATTTAACCTTTTTCTCTTCTTTCTTTTCCTCAGATTTTTTCTCATCTTCTTTCTCAGTGTCGGCTTTGTCTTCTCTCTCACTCTCCTTGTCTTTATCTTCTGTCTTCTCTTTCTTCTTGCTTTTCTTCTCCTTCTTGGACTTCTGGAGAACGGGATAGAGATATCACCTCATTAATTTTTATCGTTCAAGTAGAACATAAAATTGAGCAACTCATATCTTAATTTGATAAACGATTATTTCTTAATTCACATCATGTGTACTACATCTGCATAAGAGTATACCACCTCCTCTCACTTCAATAGATGATGAAAAAGTCAATATGATTTCTCTCACTTTTGAAAATATCTTAAAACAGCCATACCAACAAGAAAACATCTGAGCAAACTGCTCCTGTAGAAGATGTAATTCACAGTAGAAAATTTCATTTTGGAAACCTGTAGAAACAGCAGTTGCTTTCAAATGAAAGAGCTGGTCTACAGGAGATAGTAACATATGGAGTTTTATTCTTAAATAAGAGTGCCATACCTTTTCCTCATCAACCTCCTCCTCTCTATCACTCTCTTTAATTTTCTTTTTCTTCTTGTCCTTGTCTTTCTTCCTGTCAACCTTTGCCGCCCTGTGGAATAGACCTTTTGCCAAAAGTGAGTCTAAATAATAGACTATTGATCTTCTGTCTGTGAATAATACTTCAGTCCCTTTTCCCCCACTGGCCCACTTGGAATCCATCAACATGTCAACTGCCTTGGAAGCTAAAAAATATGAAGGATAATGCAGAGAGGGATTTATGTTTCAGTTTTTGAATACATCATTTCTCCAACACTGAAATAACTAATACATATCATCAAATCGATGTACATGTCGAAACAATTTTTTGACCTACAGCTAGTGATTTTTGGAGAAAGTAGTGGTCACTTCAAGAGTTTTCCATCCATCCATAAAATGATATTTTATCCATAAGATGATTGTAGATTTTAATGCTAAACTTCATCTGTGTTTTTGGCAGTCACTTTTAATACCAGAAATTACACACTGGAATTTCACATGATAAGATCACTGTAAATGCCTGATATGCTAATTAAAGCAATAACTGTTGCTAACGTATGCTTATAAAAGTGTTGTTTCCAAGAAAATTCAAAAATAGCAGCAATTTTGAATTCTAGTAGGCCTACTGCGTCAAAGATCTTAAAACAAAATAATTGTGTTTGAATGGGCAAATTATATACTGGCCTTACCAATAAAGTATTGCACTGTCATGCCAACAAGTTTTGCCTCCTTCTTGGGAAGATTAAACCGAAGGTGTTTGGCCACTGCATACTCCTCCTTGGTTGGCTTATCATCATCATTCTGCAGAAATACACAAGATACAAATACAGTAAAACCTTTTTCAGCGAAGACCTCTCTCTAGTGACCATCTAGTGTTTAGTGAACACAATTTCAAGACACATTTTACAATGAGAATAACATTCAGATGACAATAGATGTCTACATGCGGTGGTAAGAGTTCAATAGAATACATGTATATTGGTCAGTTTCAGTTCTGAAATTCCAGTTTGAAAAATACACAAAAATGGCGAAAAGGAAATTAAATGCAGTGTTCTCCCCAAAAAAAATTTTCAACTGGGTGCAAGATTTCAAGTCTAAAAAAATCAGCACTCGCTACGCTCACAATATCTCAGTGTAGGTGCTTACTTCACTCATTCTTTAAATCAGAAGTTGAAGTGCAGATGCCAACTGGGTGCCAACTGGGTGGCCTTTTGTTTCAAGTAGGGGGAGCCCCCGGTAAAAGTGACATGGGGAGATCACTGAAATGTGACAATTTATTTAATTAGTCTTACCACCACACACAGACATGTATAGTCAACATCATCTGAAAGAATACACCCAAGAAGAATTGCTGTTAAAGGGATTGTTCCTGGTATAAAATCAACTAACACTAACACTCCAGTATGACCATGACAAACTGCAGGGCAAATACATGGCAAATGAAATTCCATCCCTCAAAATGCTATGTACTGAGTATTCATAGACGTAAATCACCCATCACACACAAGTACACTATGTTAGGGGAAGAATTAAAATCTGTGACTCACATTCCATATCTAGGAATTGAAATAACCAACAACCTCAACTGAACCACACACATACAAACAGTAGTATCAAAATCTAACAAGGGTCTAGGCTTCCTTCCGCTCAACCTCCATCAGTGCCCAGAAAACATTAAAGCCCGGGCATACAAGTCACTAGTACAGCCAAACCTAGAATATGCTAGTGCAGCATGGGATCCTTACCACCAGATAGATTTCAAAATCCTGGAACAGGTACAAAAGAGAGCAGCCAGATTTGTTACCAAATGTCACTCTAAGGGAACCAGACTGTGTCACCCAAGCTCTCAAAGACATCTGCAGTGGGAATAGCTACAATCGCGAAGAGAGGCCTCCAGACTTTCCCCTTTCTATAAAGAAACTCACAACTTAGCATCCATCTCTATACCCACATACTTCAGCCCTCAAACAAACACAAGCACTGCCACTAGACTGTTCCATCCATCCAAATTTATCCAAGCAGCTGCCAGAACGGATGTATACAAGTTTAGCTACTTTCTAAGGACAATAGTAAAATGGAACCCTCTGTCTAGTAATATTTTGGACAGTGATCAGGTGATAGCTTATACAGTTTTAAAGATCTAATAGCAAAGGTTTTGCAAAAATAAATCAATGCAGTGTAAAACAAATGTATGTATAATGAAGAAATAAATATTTAATGAAAAAAATAGATATGTGTTTGTAATATTGGTATTAACTTAAGATTAAAAAGTGTCACTATCTCTTTCATTTTTCAACAAATATAGGCTCACCTGACATATGACGCGGGGCAGTCAATTTTGATCTATCGTAGACCATATCAGTATCAAACTGCCGATATTTCAACCTCGTCTTGCGAGGCCATTTTTATTTGAAACATCTTGAATTTGGTGTCAAAATAAAGCTGGTCACGCCCACTTTCAGAGTTATCAATGAATCATTTACTACGACTACTATATTCATTTAGGAGGCGTGTAAAGTTAACCAATCAGAAAGACAATTGCTCCATATATGACAGTTCATTAACATATTCAGTGTTTACTATTGTTTTTCGCGTCATGACAACACGAGTAGTAACCAATCAAAATGCCGTATTTTATCACGTGAGTTCAGAGTGACATGCACGACATGTAAGTTTAGTCTGAGCTGATCGCGATGTTGAACAATTTCTTCTCGGAATTTGTCCAGAGAAATCAGCGATTCTAAATTAAGGTAGGATCTCCCATTTCTTCCTGTACAAGTTTTAACTTATCTCTATCGAATCCTAAAGTTTTGGATGAAGATATGAAGCATACGTTTAAAAACGAAGCGATTAATTTGACGATCTGATTTTGCAATTTGCAATGGCCAATTTACTGCAAGTCTGCGTGTATTTGACAAGAGATAGCGCCAAGTCTTGTATCCGAATGCTTGTTAAGCCACTCAAAAACAAGATCCATATTTTCTAAATTTGATAACTTTGCAGAGAGCCCGTTTTCATAACCTGTTTTCCGCGTCTAAATTCAAACTGAGTAGGATTATAGGATCGCTGGGATTCTCAGTCAATGGCAACGGGTCTTCATTCCAGAACGCACATTTTTTTAGTTGATTCTCCGTCATAGTACTTGTCTAAAGTCCATATCTGCTCTTTTACTGGCATACTTGGACATATTTCCCCTCCTTAAATTGTCCTCCTTAAATAACACCCTCTCGCCGATTTATATATAGCCATTTCCCAGAACCCGGGAGTCAGAATCGCTGATGTTTGCCATATTGAACATGTTGAAATATGTACTGTAATATCTGTAATACTAGGCATTGCCTGCTACGCGTAAGGGTCACGTGACTAGCGCGATACAGGAAAAATGGGGAATTTCGAAACAACAATTTTTGGGCACTTTTATTGCAAATTTCAGGTATTTATAAGTGTTTGTGGTATAAAATATAATCCACAGACATAAATGAACATCCAAACTACATATTTTATTACGTTTTGGAGCCTTTTTTGCTTTTAAAATGACATCTTTAAGGTAAGTCTGCATGTTCAGAATTTTGCTGCAATCTTCAATTGAGTGACACATGTTATTTTTCAAATAGAAATCACTTCTTCTCCACATTGTCTACACTATTGTCTCTTTTGCAAAAAGAGTGCACTTATGTGCCTAGAAGACAGTAAAGAAGTTTTTTTGTAAAATGTATAAAAAAGAGAAAATTCAGTGAGAATTTTTTTTAATATACATTTTACAAAACAAATCTTCTCACCAGTATTTTCTAGGTTCATTAGTGCACTCTTTGTGCAAAACTGAAAGATGTAGACAATTTGGGGAAGGAGTGATTCCTATTTGAAAAATAAAATATGACTCAATTGAGGAATGCAGCAAAATTCTGAACATGCAGACTTAACTTTAATCTGTCAGCAAGCAGCTTAACAATTAAGCTTTGTGTTTTAGCAATAGGTCTATGGTAAATGGGCCAACCAGGGAGTTTCCTTTCAATTTTAAAATGAGTTGTAACCAAACCATAGAGGCATAGATCTATTATCTGATTATTTAAATGTTAGGTTTAAATTATATTTCATTCAAATTCTATCACTGTTAAACTATATATCTGCTTCAAATGGGCTTATTAGCCTTCAGCAGATTATTAATGTACATGTAGATGATTTCATGACAACGTTTTTAGGTTGTATTGGCCAGATATCAAAATTGAAGCTTTTTAGGTGTATCTCACTGTCAGCCCATAATAATGAACTTACTCCTAGCACCATTTTGACCAGAAGTTATTGTGATCAACTCTTTTTATGGTTTTATTTACTCGAGTCTCTAGCCAATACTTGGCTAGAGGGGATTTCATCTGGAATACGTGAACTCTATTTGAAAAAAGCTGGCCGGGGTGTCATAAATTAATTGAATATTTTAAAAATCGCCAGATAAATAAATCATTAATCAAACCGGACCCAGCTCGGCTCCTTGATGAGATATGACATGATTTCGACAGGATTTCGTCTAAAATTAAAACAAAATGGCTCCAAGAAAAATGGCAATGTTCGAAAACTGGACGAAATGTCGTTAACGTCTGACATTAGTAACTGGCTGTAAATTCTAAGTTAGCGATCCAGAAAATGTGAACTAATACACTGATCACTTTATGTGTGTTTTGGAATTTTTGGTGAGGTAATAAGACCAAAACTCGCAATTCAAATTGTGATGTGGAAAAATGGCGTACATATGATTTCAAATTTTATGATTACGACATGACCAGTTGTTCATGCAGGAATATATCTGTACTGGAAGGCCACGATACAGTGGCCTTAGAAAAAGGTAAGGTTTTATATACTGGGTTAGTCATTTTGACTGGAAGTGTCTCAAGTCTGAGATACAGGGTGGACGAGTTTTTGTTTCCAAAATATTGCATAGTTCATTTTTGAGCCACCTTTCTGTGTTGTGTTTGCAGGACCCCCCCCCCCCCCACACACACACACACACTGTACCCAGGCCAGGAGCACCGGTGAAACGCAGAGGTTGAATCTTCACCTAAATATTGGATTTAAGCAACCAACCATTTCAACGAGTCTATGGAATCAATTTGTGAGCAGGAAGCACTAAAAACCACATACAACATATGTATATAACCCCCATGAGATCGACATGACGACGTCTTCAAAAATTAAAAATTATTTCGACATATGGAATTTTTAACTTCCATTTATGGAGTGTTTTGGGAAGTATAAGCTCTATAAATCAATCAAGACGATGGAGTAAGTGGTTGTGTATTGAAATATTACGAACTAATATAAGCAGCTGTCCCCATACGTATACAATAACCAAATCTTACCACTTTTCTTTTACTTTTGGTCTTTCTCCGTTCAGCCATTTTGGTTTTTACTAAATTTAAAACTCCACTGAACGAAAAAAGATTCAGACAATTTTTATTCCCGGGTGGATTTGAGCGGCTCTCAATGCCTTTGATTCATTTGTACTGTAGGTTAGTCCCAGGAGGTTAGTCCTACCACGACTCTACTTGAATTGGTACATTTAAGGTGAATCCCAACTATGGCATTTATTATGGTTGAGAAATAAGGATCGAAACCAGCCAAAGTGTTAAATGTGGGGGGGGGCACTTGAAATGTGACGGTGTGTCATTGAGTCCGCCTTTCGTCCTGTCACACAGGCTGAATGCTACATGTAGATGTATTATAGGAAATATGATGTACTAAGAATTTGCAACTATCTTTGATTTTAAGAGTATTGGTTCTCAGTTTAAACATTAGGCCCATTCTTCAACACGCATGATATTAAAAGTGCAGTGTCTAATAAAAGCACAATTAGACTGTAACCCCCTGATGTTTTTGGATCTAAAAGATGTATAAAAAGTTGGCCAGTCTACTGATCAACTTTGAGGCTTCAACCACTTCGTAACGCGATCAATTTGACGATTGTCCACAGATATTACTTTTCTACTGGCTAGTAACAGTCGAAATGAAATTGAAAAAATTTGTTCGTTTTGTTTTTTTCATTTAGAATCACAACACATTTTTTGTTATCTTTCCACATGACTTAAGAAAAAAATTAGTCATATTTATTACTTTCAAGAGTTTCATAATTATCTATCTATCTACTTAGAAAAATGGTTGTACGCTTTGGGCTTACTGCGTTTTATCTGACAGTTGGTTGTTCTGATGGCTTTTCTGTTAATTTCCCAATATATCGGAGATATTTTACCCTCAATTTGTTCTCAAGATATATATTTTAGGTATGTAAGATATTACATGAGCAATTATAATGGGACATCACTGATTGTCTGGGGCCGGGGGAGAATCCTAGGCGATATTCCCCCTTTAATGACATCACTGTTGCCGAATGAAGGTCCGGGATGAAGGTCCCTTGGTGTTGTGAACTTGAATTGTGGTCGATCGAATGGTACTTGAATGGCGGGGAGGGAGCATCAAACATTGTTCCTCCTACATTACATCGTTGCCGGTTGAGACTAGTTTACCATATAGCCGGTGTGCCCTTAGATCTTTTCTTTTCTGTACAACTTTTGCTCCTTTCCCTTTAGAAGGCCACCTGTGGATATCATTTTGCAGTGATGGAGGGAGATAATTTCATAGTTTTCCTCCGCTCCCCGGGCCACGAATATGATATGACTGGAATTGTTGTTCTCAGTCCAAGAATGCATTATGGTAATAGGACGTACATTTGTGCATCAAAATGGGGCAGACGAACTGTTTTATTTCAATCAATCCCACCACTCAAAAGAACACGAAACAGCATTATTCAGTTTAGGTTATTTTTATTCATCCTATGCAATATATGCAATTTATTAATAATTTTACACGGCAGGCACAAAGGCCTACGTCAGGAATCCAAGCTTATAAGTAAAATCCTCAACATAACTGATACACTTTTAAATAATAATTCTATTCTGCTATCTAAATTGTATTTAATTACTAACTGATTAAATAATTGACTAATTATGACAAATGGACATCAAAATGCAGGGACGATTCTCCATTCTCCAAGGAGAACATAGGCTAAGAATATGATAAGCCACAACAAAATGACTTCATGCACCGTATAAACATCTAAATAACTAAAACGTCACGAATTTCTTCTAGTTCGGAACTCAACAAGGCAATACATGTCACCAACTGGTTAGTTATTGCAAATGATTAAACATGTTAAAAATCTACTTATTTGTTGCCATGGTAACATTTTAGGTCAATGTGTCTATGCATTCTTAAGTTACAATATATAACAAATTTGAGAAATGTTTAAAGACAAATAGTCTGTTTCCATGGTAACAGATATTCATTGCCATGGTAACTGAATCTGCCAAAATATGTTAAAAGTCGTCAATGTCTTTATGTTTTAACAAAAAAATTAATGACCATGTGAACACTTCTTTTTAAATTACTACAAATGGTAACAAACGGTAACAGGTCCACTTATTTGTTGCCATGGTAACAGAAATGTATTGGAACCTCAGATATTCACAGTAAAAAATCAAGTCACTCTAAAAAGTACTTGTTAAAGTTATTGGAAGTTGTAAGAATTTGTTACGTGCGCCGACCGCCGAACATCGTCCACAAGTTGGAGACTATAACAACATGTTACCACTTCTGGTGGTGACATAAAAATGGATACATATACAGCGGATCGAGACATAATATAATATGTATATCTGTAGTACAAGTCTCTGGTGTCAGTAAGGTTCAGATACATATAAACACCCATGTCAAGAAACTAATGATGGTAATGATAATCAGTACAATTAGTTTCTAAAACTATATACACATTCAAACAAAATATTAATATCACTATTCATTCTTAAACTATTCCTGAAGCATAGTCACGGTGACTATCCAGGCCCCGTATATCCCGTGCAAGTTCCCGCTGACATCGCGTGCAATAAGTTCATGTTAGAAGCGGGGTTTGAGAGATATGATAAATATAGTTAAGTTGAAGAACGTCGTTGCACTGCAATTAAAATAGCCATTGTACAATGAAATAAATTTTGTCCTAAAGTTTCATAGAAAATGTTATATATCAACTTCATCATATCTCTCAAGGCCCCGCTTCTAACACATGAGCTCATTGCTCGTGATGTCAGCGGAGCCTGGATAGTTGGTTGGCCAATAGACTTGCTTTTAAACTCGCTCGTTATTCAATCCGTTCATTCAAAGAAGCTATAACATATGTTGATATTCCATTGGAAAGGCATCTTGATTAGCAATAAACTGATAAAGAAGTCTGGGTCTCGACAGATATTGCCTCTTAAAAATTATTCCTTAATTCAAAGTCTCACTTTTCATTAGGATTAAATATATGTGGAATAGAGAAGAATACGGCAAGTGTTGAGGCCAACGTAAACGTAAGAAACACCCATAGGCACATTCTGTCAATAACCATTGCTGCAAATTTCCAATCGTTGATTTCCTCACCACTTTCATTATCCTCTTTGATTTTGTTAGTTATGGATCTTAATTCCCTGAGGATCATTTTTAGTTCTGTTTTAGTGATAAAGTTATCGTCCTGTTGCATGGATGGCATATCCCCGAAACTTGATGGTGTGTACGGATAGTAATCATCATCATCTTTAATGTTCATTATCAGGCTTTTAGAGGGCTGTAGTTGTTTTTCTAAGTCTCTCATAGCTGATTTTCTCTTGAGACTGCGTCTTGAAATGTCTCTGCCTGGGCGATGCAAGCGGACGACCCATGCACCCCACTCGCAGATCAACGTTTTCACCTTAAAATGAATACCGTAGTTGTTATCAATTGAATAGTCTTCTCAGTGGTCTAGGGGTGAAATAAACTTAGTATTTTCAGGTTTTGTGAACAATGGAACTTAGACTTGAAATATACAGGGTGTTCCAAAAATATGTATCAGGGAATCGGAATCAACTGACATAGGGATAAAGGAGAAGATGACCTAATGGTTTTTAACATTGTGTCAATGGGGATTTAGCATATAAGCTTTTTCAGAAAACTTAAAAATCCTTGGAAATTGAATACAGGAAAATAACTGTGCATAAAGTTGTTTTAACAGAAAAATTCCATACAGAATTCAAATATGTCATCAAATAGAAGAAAATGATAGTCTTTGATGACAAAAATGCATATCTCATAAATGAAAAGCGAGACTTGAACGAGATTTCAAAGTTATAGTAAAGCCTATTCACCTCAATGTTCCACGGAAGAACTATTCGGAGGAGGTTCAAAATTGCTTTGAACATCCATGACATCAAGTTATTGATCACATCAATGGATGCAGTAATCATGTAAATGAATGAAAATGGGTATTTTCCCCCCAAATGAATCGAAATATTTACAGGGAAAAAACAATTCGAAGAAATGGTATCACGTACCCAGCTTGGCATTATGTACATGTCTGGATTCCTGTGGTGGAAGTTGAGAACTAACACAGTCAGGCAAACTGATAAGGTACACATTACCATGATGCAGGCAAAATATACAGCTGCAAAAACATTAGAATCAGCTTGAAATTAAACACGAATATGATTGAATTTAAGTTTCACAAATGAGTAAAAAAACAAATTACTATTCATTCAGATACTCTGTTACTCAAAAATATTATATAGCGTTATAGGACTTCAGACAAAATGATGGTTTCCGCAAATGATATACCATTGCATGGAGAAGGTCGTCATTTCCTTTGTTATAACGAACATCTGAGTAAAAAATAAATTGTGTCTGTGAGGTTATCTTAGCATTTTAAGAAAAATAACTTGATCCCCATAGCGGACAAATGTTCTGATCTCACCCTGTAAATATATTCCCCATCAAACATACCTAATATCGGGACTGATCCTGAGGTGGCGGGTATCATTTCAGCCACAATCATCATAAACACAGATAAGGCTAGCAGAATTGTCACACCTACATGGTAAAAATATATTGTGATCAGTACTAGTAGTATTATACAATAAGATATATTTCAATTTACGTGTGTTTTTTAAAAAAGGTACAAAACGTTACAAAAAATAATCGAAAATACATTTCTTACAAGCCCCTTTTAATCAAGGTGTTAATGTTCTTACCCAATCCGATTTTTTCTCCTGCATCGGGAGGAAGCACAAAGAGAAGAATGGAAATCGAAGAGATCATGAAACACGGGATGATCAAATTGAAGCCATAGTACAGTGTCTTGCGTCTTATGTGTAAAGTGAAGGTAACATCAGGGTATTCTTCAATACAGCACTCATATTTAAAAATGTTTCTTTCTGCTGGGTGAGCTGAAAAACAAAAAAAATATAACTAGAAATATTAATGATAGTAAAAAATAATCCAGGGAAAATAATACTGCAGGGAAAAATAAGTTGAATTTTTTCATTTGTCCGGAGTTTGTTTCCTTCCTTTGCGATTCAATGCTCCATTTACCAATTCTATGGTTTCTTCATTAATTTTTGGATTTTATTTTCCCATTTGGCAACCGTACTCGTATATCAATACATACTTACAATGACTTATAACTGAATTTATATAAATAGATGATACCTAACACAGCCCATTCTCCACTCTCTTGGTAGGTTGACATATCAATCTCGTTCCATTTCAGGGTTAGATTAATTTTTCCTGCATCATAAGTCCATGAACCAAATTTCATTATACACTTTTGTTCATCAAATGGAAACCTATAAACATCACGACTTGTTTTAAATTATAGTTGATTTTCTACAATTGATTAGTAAGAAACAACACAAAATGTCCCTTCTCATCCCTTTGCTATAACTTTTGTTCTGCTGGTTTTTCCTTTTGAAACTTTCACTGACAATCAGCATATTACCATTAAAGTTATTGTTACTATGGTAACCGTTGTTAAAGATCAACTCACCATTTAATGTTTATTGAACAGGATGATATGTAGAGTCCAATTGGTACCCAGGTAAGAAGGCCACTAGAATACACAACAATGTTTGTCGAAAACTTCGAGTCAATATCTTCGTCAGCACTGAAAAGCATAGAGTGTTTTTTGAAAAATAATTCAACTCATTTTATAGAGAGAAATGAAGGTTTATATGAGCGATGAATATGATAATGCTAAGTTTAGCAGCAATGGATAAAATGGAAACTTTCAAATTTTGTCAATGACGGTTTATCCGAATATCTACTGAAAATCGTATCATACAATCGCTTCCACTAAGAGTTTAATCATATAAATAGACAAAATGGAACTAAATTCCTGGAGTAAACACATTGTATTACCTATTATACATTAATATATCTGGTGTCCAGATCTTTTTAGCTGGAAGACGAATACTTGTAATATTTCCATAATCCTCTGGATTCCACTTCAGCTTATAATCGTGCCATGCCTGGATATATATTTCTATACATTTATATTTTAATGTCTATTCAAATGAAAAAAAGCAATAAAGTAGAATCATCCAGACACAATTACAGTATGGGACTTAGTAATAGCATAGTATAGTGCAACGCAGTGTTGTTTAATGTTGTGTTTTATTGTGTAGTGTGGTGTAGTGTAGTGTAGTGTAGTGCTGTGCTGTGAAGTAAAGTATATTATGTTATGGTATGATATGGTATGGTATAGTTTAATATTATTTTTATATAAAAATATACATAAGTATGTACATATGTATAAAAGCCTTTAAGAAGAAATAAAATATAGCTGATGAATGTAGATATATATTGATAATAATATCTAAATTGATTATTCAATTACTTGAAATATACTTACATAGTCTAGCCATACATTAGTGTTTAATACTTCATTCTTTTCATCCTGTAAAGTTCAATCAATACAAAGAAATACATATCGAAATTACTATTTGATTTCCGAAATTATTACACGGTTTGTGAAATGAGAGGATGACTAAAATTTATACAAATTTAGAGCTACTTAAATAATTCAGATAAAACTACAAGGTAGACAAATATCCTTGTTTCATTTTGCTATAATTTTCTTCACAATTCATGAATTTCAATAAAATTGTTTTGCGGATGATGCAAACTTGAATCATCGTGACTAAACTCAAAAATGATTCCTGCACCTTCATTAAAAGTAATCGCCAAATAAAAATATGGACGTCTTTTGGCTCGCCCCTTTTATAGAAAGTGTTATTGATTAGCACACATTGTAGATATACTCCTCAAAAAAAGTTAAGGACCAGTATTTTTCCTCATAGGTTTACATGTTAAACCCTATGTATCTTTAAACTCTATTCTCTAAGCCCGAAACGAAAGAAAAACTAATAATGTAAATGAATTTGTACCTTGACTCTATTCTCTATATTTCAGAAAATTTTCAATTTAATCTCTCTATTACAATAGGTCAAAAATTGATGTCAAGGAACCCATGTTAACCAATGTGAAATGGTGGGTTGGGGGCAAATCAGATTTTTGGATATGTTTTCGGTAAAACATTTATCAAAAATAATTTCTGAGTAGAGAATTGAATTTGCTAACTTGTCTACAACAAAAAATTGATTTGTTTCTCCAGGTTTTACAAAGTTATTAGTCTCAAATAGTCAAAATCATTTCTCATTAAGCCTCTCATTGAAATAACACAGGGGGTAAAAAAAAACTTGAAAAAACTGGTCCTTAACTTTTTTTAGGAGTATATGTTAAGTCTGAAATACTACGCATGCTGTAAAGGATGGCACTAAAACATAACACACAAACCAATCTGTATAAAGAATATTTCAGGACATCCATTCACTATGGGCCTGGAATGGGGTCCAAATGCACCACATATACTACCCAAATTAGGCTATTTCTGGTAGAGGTTATTTCTGTATTTTTATTTTAAACAAGAAGTGGAATACCCCAGAATTGATGATTAAAAGATGAACCTCTCGACAGAATTCATATCTAGGAGATAATTCAATTCTATGGAAATTCCCCATCTATTTCAAACAATAGTAGTGAGAAAGCACAAAAAGAGCAACACCTGAAAAAACTCCACAATCCCTATATAAGTCACAAAGAAAAATCTAAGAATAGTAGTATATGACCTTTGGATGTAGAACCAGTTGGCTTTGAACGAGTACACAGGACAATAGCTAGTTTTTGCCAAGGGGGGGGGGTTAAAAAACTCCAGGGGGTCCACATTTGACAATTTTGGCCCAAACCACTTGAAAAATGTGCCTGTTACACCAAATAGTACAACGCTTGAGAGCTTGTCGTCTACTTATCAAAGGTGTACTGAAATGTTCTGTTACAATTTGGGCTTTTAGCAATTACTGAGTGGTAATAGGGTTATAGTTTGTAATATTTGGGTATCAGTAGCTGCAATAAGTAAAGAAAGATACACACCAACGCGGAATCATTTCATCTCCTACCATATGTTTAGCACTCTTAATATGTAAATATAGGCAGAAAACCATGCATACAATGCAAAAAGACACTCGTTTTGCAATATCCTGTTGTGAGCAAACCATACCACTTACAATTCCAATGATTTGTTGCAACGATATCCCAAATACGACTTGAAGTGAATCAGTCTCCGTAGCAACAGGCCGCCCAAGCATATTGTAATTACGCTTGTCCTTGTTAAATATTTCATCTATGAGTCTTTCCTCGTGTGGACCCTGCACGGATTCTATAAGCAGTGAATAAGGTACTTAGTCGCTAAACATCCCGCGTACAATGCTTCTGGTATTATGTTTTATGGATAAACTATGGGTACTGGGTTTTAGGATAATAGCCGAGGGCCTTGGCCCTAGGCTATTCGTTCTCCTTAGATCCAGTACAATGGTCTATCTAATTTAAACCCCACACTGACTCTTATGAAAGCTGAATGGTCCATGATCCAATTTTAGGAAAGTTTGATCTATTTTGTATTCACTATGATGTAAGTGTGTTGAGAATTGAGTGGGTGTAATTAGTTCAGCTTCAGTGCACTGCATATAACAGGCCAGCTACAGTTCAAAATTTGATTTATTTCTTTTGTATTTACTATTTAACTATTGGGTGAATGAAAAGGATTTAATCAGGTCAGCTTCAGTGCACTGCATGTGACAGTCCAGGAGAAAACACTGGGCCAAAAACTGTCAATCGTCCTTTGTGCCACGTTGATTTTGGATAGCTTGCCAAATGTCAATTCTTTAAAAACTAGAAAAATGATCCGATCTTCTTTGTGACAACTGTATATTCTTTGAGATAAACTACAGTTCATTCTAAATGCTTAAGTGCGATTTAAGTCCAGTTAAACCATTCAGTTGAGCAGAATGCAAAGTGGCTGCTGTCCTGTGTCCTCTGCTTCAAAATTTGAACACTGGGACACTATTTAGAATGCTATAAAAGATAAACATTTGGACCGCCAGGGCCATATCCGATCTCAGGGCTAAATGATTTATTCTTCAGAATGATTGTAATTCTCAAATCATTCTTGGTTCAGCTATCTGCTATATTCTTACACGGTTAAGATCATGAAATACTCTGTGTCCAAGTCGATTGTGATTGTGTACGTTTCAATCATTATGAATATCAACATGACTATGGTTATTAACAACCAAAATTACAGCTATTGCGCCCCTTAAAGTGAAACAAAGACAATTTGCCACTTCTGCTAAAATGTTCAAGTACAAGGGTTGTTCAAATAGTTTTGCACAAATATATCTAATTATGAGAATAATGAACCAATCTTGTTCATATTTAGTGAGTTTGTGCCCCCATCTTATTCCCTTACACTGTCAAATTTTCATGTATGTATAATTATTACTTAACATTTTATGGTTACTATGGTAACCAAGGTGATGGCGGCACGGTCCGTATCATTTTAAAGAGAAAACAAGTAATATAAAAAGCAAAATATCAGTAAAGATGCCCTTTACTTACATAAACTATCAACTTTTTAAGCAATATCTAGTACTGTTCTCGTGGCAAAAATGAATCTTATATCAATACTTCTCATCTTATTTTCTTTGGAAATGCCAAAGAATGACCATAAACATACTGTTCAAACATCTTGAATAAATCACTTGATTTTATGACGTTGTCAAAGTTCTCGTATCAATTTCTGAAATATTGGAGAATATGACTCAAAATAATAAAGTTGAGGCAGAAAACATTGATAGAATACATGTCAAAGAATGGGAAAACAGAATTCCACAAGTTAAAATCATTCATGGATTAAGACATTGCATACAATGACTCCTAAAGGCATTGCTAAGTATTCCAAGATGGAATTAGACAATGGGAAATGTATTGAAGATAGCTGTAGTTATATCAGGCTTGACATCCTATAGGTAGGAGGGTTCAGACTTGGTTTCAAAGACTGGTGGACAAAATGCTTCAAGTAATGCATTCCTGCTTCGGAAGACTACATAAGAACTCTATATTTTGATTGATTATAAGTCAATTATAATCATAACCTGACGAACTGTTCAAAGAACACAGACACACAATCTACTCAAATCCCACTGGCATATTATTTTTATGAGTAGTCTTACCAGTCTGTAGTTTTCTGTATATTCAAAACAACATTTCATCAAAATAGTGAACTTCTAATGTTTTTCTGTAATATTCACCGGACGTACCATTAATAGATATCGATATGTGACATATCTTGTGAAAACCCATTAGATTCTCCAATTTTGTCACCGTGATCTTAAATACTTTACAGTTCCAAACCAGGAGTTTAATGGGGCGTTGTAAGGTAAATAGGGCATGGGTAAGTTCTGGGACATGGGATACGCAGTGTATGTTGGGTTTAAAGCAAAATGATACATCGAGGGTGCAAGGGTATATCGTATAATTTCTTAACAACCTTCATCAAGTGGGCATATGTAAACATTCATCCATCCATACGCAATATGATTGTTACAATGCTCACGTGGTGAATAGATCTAAAATATCAAACGTGACATTCTAAGAACTTACCTTAGTATGTTCAACTATTTTTCTAAAGGTCCCATCGGGATGTCATATCAAAATATTGTAATAAGTAAATGATACAACGACATGTACAATATTTATATGTTTTTATTTTTTCAATGTTTCCAATTCTATTATGAGCTATTATCACAGCTGTTATAAGACAAAACAAAACATGCATTTATCAGCTTTCCAACGCTCATGTTAAACAACGACTGACATATATTATCAGTGTATCAAAATAATAGTTGTCACATTAAAAAAAAACAGTGACATTCTGATAGATGGCTGAATCAAAATCATATTTTATTCATAATATTTATTAATACAAAGTGATCACACTTCAAAAATATTGTGTATGTCTATAGAAGTTATTATCAAATAGTGATTATTTACATCACATTGAGGACATTGGGTAAAACACATACAACTCACTCAAAGAAACGTCTATATGAAATGATAATTTCCAATATCATTATAACATAATTTAATAAGCAACTTGAGGGTGACCAAACACGGGAATTTAATTCCAAAATATACAATATTATTAAATATAATCGTGACTTTATTTATACATTATTATCAATAAATAGTTACTTCCGTACACTGTACACACTTTTTACTCAAAATACATTTCGTATGAATATGAATAGAGTAGTGAAAAATAGCTGTTACAACATGTTGCAATCATGTTAAAACTATTGCATGTACAATATATGTGACAAGGGTTTACTGAGTAATCTAGCTGACAAGTTACTACATCGTAGTACCGACTACATGATGTATCATATCATATGGGGTCGTATTCATTTCATACATTCCATTACGTCTCAGCTCTTCTATGGTCCTGGCACATTCAATGGTCTTAGGACCATTCTGATGATCGAACGCACCCTTATAATTATCCCTTTTGAAATAATCAATGTTAGAATCGACACAAATTAAACTAACAGAAAGGAGAATTAATTCAGAATTTGTTAGTGTATACATACGAGTATGTATATATATTTATATGTATGGAATAACGAGTCTTAAATTATATTTGTCATAGGTTTTGGGCTGATATAAAGATGGCAGCAGCGGTAGAATCTCATGGAATTTTCTCAACACAGATTGACTGGCCTGCCCTCTTTATTTGAAAATTGTTTCTATCACCCTTTAGCATAATAATATCATAATTATCATATCATTTAAAAGTTGCATAATAATTGGCATTAACAGGTGCAACAATAAAAACAGTTTCGGTATACTTTTTACAAACGTAAACAAATTCGCATATCTGGCAGCCTTGTCTGATATATGCACAGCATAGACTTCCTCTGACGTTAATCCTATACTTCTGATTCCTTCTTTCTTAAACCTTTTCTTCCTTTCTTCACCTCTTTCCTCCACATTTTTCTCAGTTAAACGAAATCATTTGATGCAAGCTGCAAATGTTGTCGATCAGAAGAAACATAAAATCACAACAAACACAGGCATGCATGTTGGATTGTTGACATATATCATGTTACAAATGAAATATACATTAACATGTATAGTATGAAATAAAAAAAAGTCAACATTATTCCAAACTGAGTCAGTTCAATCATTGTCTTGGGTCATATCGACCATTACGCTAACTGGTTGGATGTCTCTGAATATACATATCAGTGCCCAATCCATGAGTGAGTTGCTCCAATACATCAGCGGAGCTTGTATGGTTTGTCTATCCGTACACAGCACATCATGGTGACAATGTCTTAAAACGATAAACATGGCTACAACACCAAATTCGACAAAGTTCCTGATGATTGCACAAAGAACTAAAGGTATACTTATAGTTCTGTATTGGTTACTGACTGACCACCTAAACATACTCTAAATCCAAAGACCTCATTTTTCATTTGGATTGAATATATGTGGAATACAAAAGAATACGCCAAGTGTGGAGGCCACTGTATATGCAAGGAACACCCATAGGCACATTCTATCTATTACCATTGCTGCAAATTTCCAATCGTTGATTTCTTCACCATTTTCATTATCCTCTTTGATTTTATTTGTTATGAATCTCAATTCTCTGAGAATCATTTTGAGTTCTGTTTTAGTCATATTAAAATTATCGTCAGGTTGGATATTATGCATTCCTGCGTTTCGCATGTTTGGCATTCCCCCGTTAGTTGCTGGGAAGGGGGATGGGTATGGATAGTAATCATCATCATCCCTAATGTTTGTGATGAGACTTTTAGACGGCTGTAATTGTTTTTCTAGATCTCTCATATCTGATTTTCTGATAAGAGTGCGTCTTGAAATATCTCTGCCTGGCCGATGCATGCGAACAATCCATGCACCCCACTCGCAGATCAAAGTTCTCACCTGAAAATATATACTTGCAATAGTCATTGCACGCAAATAAACCATAATGTAATACAATGGAAGACATGCCCTGTAAATATGAACATATCGCAGAACGTGTGTATGAGAATATTTCCTAAAAAATCTAATAATTTGACTTATATTCTAAACTTTAAAACGTTACTTGAAATACGATGCAATTTTCAATCTCCTTCCAATCATCGATGAGTCACTTTGGACCAATCAAAAAATAGAACCACACTTTCCTATATAAAATTTTTGTGAAAATACAAAATATCAAATGACGTACCCAGTTTGGCATTCTGTACATGTCTGGATTCCTGTGGTGGAAGTTGAGAACTAACACAGTCAGACAAACTGATAAGGTACACATTACCATGATGCAGGCAAAATATACAGCTGCAAAAACATGACAATAGAAATTAAAACAATTTAAAAGTAAATTATACCATTATACTATATTGTGTAATTGACAAGCTCTATTTTCCATCTATTTGATCATTACCTTAATATATTAGATTATATGATGTACAGTAACAAAATAAATATTATCCCTTAAAGCCATCTATTATTTATGACAAACGAGACCACACATGATGTAACAATATCTACAAATACGAAACATGCACCTACACTACACAACACATTGAACGTAAAAATATGACAAAAATCTAAATGATAAAAACGGAAGATATCATGATGATATGAGTCAAACGAATGTTCTTGCGTCTCTCTGTCTCCATGTTATTTGGTTTTACAGTGACATTCGTTTAATTAATGCACATACAGAGTGGTGAAACCCTTTATTTTGACCAGGGTGGTCGAATTCTGTATATTTCCTCATACCTATGTCACATTAGGGAACACTCCCTGATATTTTAGACATTTGTACATCATTCATGCTACCATATTTCATAACAATCAGACTGATAGACTGATAGATGTTACGTCACTTTAAACAACATGTAAGGCATGGCCATCATCGCGCTTTAGGCAAACCTGCACATTTCGCCAAAAGTTGTCATTGACCCGACTGCATTCTTCAGAAGACATGGTCTGAATGACACATATGATTTCCCCTTTGAGGTCTGCAACTGTCATGAGGTCATTCTCGCACACTCTTTGTCTTTGGCGAAGATGAATCAGGTACGGACATTTTGGACGATGTGTGCAGGTTTGCGTACGATAGTGGCCACTTGAGCATGTTGTTAAAAGTGTTGTAACATTGTGACTATCAATCAGATGGTCATGAGACCCAGTAGAGTACATAGGTAGACTATTGTATGCACATTTCTTGGTTTCAACGGCTTGATATATTGTTAAAGCAGTTACATGTATGAATGCAGGGCTACGAGTTTCAAAATACATTCGATTACATCCCCCTTTTTGGGACACTTTGGATGGGTTTTGTAAATCTTCGTGCACAGAATGGTATTCCTACTAGTTCTAATTCTAAATCTAAGCGATTTCTACATGTGTTAGCGCCATCTGTTTGATTGTATAGTATTATACATACTAAACCTATAGTAATATTGCTGAAACATTAATTGTCAAGGCACTAAACAATTAGTCTACGTATATTCACTTTGATCGTGCACACGGTTTACCTAATATTGGAACAGCCCCTGATGTTGCAGGTACCATTTCTGCCACTATCATCATGAACACGGAAAGAGCAAGAAGAATTGTTACACCTGAAAATGTTATACCAAAAAATGGTGAAAAAGAAAATATGGGTTGCCTTTGTGGGACGAAACAGAATTATAATCAAAAAGACAATAAGGCAGTGGGATTCCCAGTGCAGTATGTATATGCACATATATGCATCTTAGACCTTAGAAACGCTAGTTTATTACATTTTTCTGCATTCCCCGGCCTAAGATGCACATTATGACCTTCATAATCACATGTAAAAATCTAATATTTCAAGCATTTGGTGAATAGATTTCAGGTGAAAATAAAATACACCTGCCAACAATAGAAAACATTAAAGAGTCAAAACTAAAGATAATTTACTTAAAGAGAAAAGTAAGAAAACTACACCTACATGTTTATAGAACAATATAAAAATATGAAAGTTATAATTTTGTGTTTGTTAGAAACAATAGCATGTTTCATTTACAACACAATAAATATACATTACAACACCAATCAGTGAGCATCCCCAAAAAATCCTGTTCTGTGCAATTTAAATATTGTATGCTAAATAAATAGTTGTACATTGGGTGGTTTTAACACAAGATTTTTTGAATGTGCAAACTGATCCCCTTAACCCTATCCTAAAATAATAACAATGAAATAAAATACACAATCGACCAGTCATACCTAATATTGGGACTGAGCCCGAAGTGGCGGGTACCATTTCAGCCACAATCATCATAAAAACAGCCAAAGCTAGCAGTATTGTCACGCCTATATGGCAAAATATTATGATCTTAAATCTGGCACAAGAAATGAATCAGCTATAGGTTTTGTCATGATGGCATTGGTTGGTATTATTGCAATGTAAGTAATATATAATATGAGGATTTCAATTATTGATGACTACAACTGAAAAACATTACACTCTTAATTTTTTATCACAGTTTGATGGTCCCATTAAAGGAGGAAAGGAAGTTTACGGACGAGAGTCGAACTTGGGTACGAAATGCTGTTTAATAATTATTTTAATAAGTACTTCATGCTATACATTTTTATAAAGTGCCCAAGAGCTTTGCATTGATTACGTGAATATTTCTCGATTTCAAGGTTAACTGGCATGCATTTTGAAAAAATCCAAAAAGTTTTGCATCTTATATTTGATCATGTTATTTTCTCAGGTATTAAATTTTAGCTTTTAACGAATACACATTTGAAATAAATAATTGATCTTGACTCTTACATTTTACACTTGTTGGTAATATTTGCTACGACTTAATAGGCATACCATATGGTTGAAATTAAATTTCAGCCCCAGAAAGTTCAGCCCCATATAAAATGTTCTCAGAAACCTTGCATTAACATTTCAACACTTTTCTAATTTCGTTTGGGCAACTATCTTATGCTTTAGTATAATATTTGAATTGTTTTATCATTAAATCTTCAACATAACATTTGTCGAATCTTTGGTGTAACTGAAATGATCTATGGAATTGTTGTTCTGGATTGTGCCAATTGTTTATTTGCCAATGCTTATGAAATGTGAACACTGTAACTGCATATTCTCCAAAAGGGAATTCTGGTTTAAACTGACGGCATTGATATTAAATACTCAGTCACCATTTAAGCACAAAATGAAAATACAATCGAGTTTGAGAAAGTGTTAGAAATATCAATGTAACGTAGGTGATAACGTATTTTGCAATTTACTAGAACATAAAATCACACGAACTTTACCTAATGAGACTTTTTCTCCTGCATCGGGAGGAAGCACAAAGACTAGGATGGCAAGAGATGAAATCATGAAACACGGGATGATCAAATTGAAGCCATAATAAAGTGTCTTGCGTCGTATGTGTAAAGTGAAAGTAATATCAATGTATTCTTCTATACAGCACTCATATTTGAAAATATTTCTTTCTGCTGGGCGACCTGAAAAACAATAATTATTGGTTAGAATTGTACATACAGTAATAGTGCCTACATTTTTTCTATGCAATATTGTTGATATTGCATGTATTAATAAATTAATTTGGTACAGCCCCTGTGGTATCTATAACACCATTCAAAAATGTAAACTTTATAAATAAAACTCGATTTTAACAGTTAGTTCAGTCATCTCGCGTATTGTCGTCTTAAACATGTTGAATTTGAGATTAGAATCCAAACACCGTCAGCAGACCTGCATCGTCAAAGTAAAAACTATGATACTTTAACTATTTTTTTGTAAATCTGGACACATATGATATTACCTATTAATGCCCATTCTCCACTTTCCTGGTAGGTTGAAATGTCTACCTCTTGCCACTTCAGTGTAAGATTGACATTTGCTCCATCATAAGTCCATGAACCAAATTTCATTATACACTTTTGTTCATCAAACGGAAACCTGTAACAAATAGTTTAATTCAAATTGATTAACAATAGTACAGCAAAAAATAACACAAATAATAAATCATTATATTTTAATTCTTGAATGTCACGTTTTCTAAAAGAAATACGTACCATTTAATGTCTATTGAACATGATGATATGTAGAGACCAATTGGCACCCAACTGAGTACCCCAGTAGAGTACACAACTATGTTCGTTGAAAATTTTGAATCGATGTCTTCATCGGCACTGAAACAGAGTGTTTAAAAAATGTTAATACAAATTGAATTAAAAGTCCTTTAAAGAAGCACATTTCAAATGACAAGTTTGTTTATTACAATTAACTGATCAAATATTTCATTCTGTTCAGGTTCATCTTTCAATGATTCTAGCAAGGTGTATGTACCAAAGCCTTAATGGCCATAGGAACAAATTAAACCTTGAAAATCATTGAAAGTGCAATATTTGTTTTTATTCACTGATAATAACTTTTCTTTGAGATTATCAAACTATGATCAAACTATATATACTATCTAATCGTACTGAATATAATATTTCATGAAATATAAAAGAAGGATCATTTAAAGCTAATATATAAAAATATTAATCTGAACAAAGCTTGCTATTAGGTAAACTGTTATGCCTTTAATGCATGTAATAATGATAAATATGATAATCTGAACAGCCAATAATTTATTATCTAGTAGTGATTTTATATATATTAAACTCCACGACAAAGCTTTGTATGGAATGACATAATCATATAATCACTAATTCACATACCATATAATTTATGGCATTGTGTTCTGGCGCATATTCCCATAAGATTGATATGTGTCTATTAGTGATTTATCAATATGAAATACCTGGATATTTCGTTTATATTATACTTTTAAAGGGCACATGCAATATACCTTTCAAAAACAGAAAAACAAGTGAAGAAAATATCAAAATAGAATTTCAAAATGATCGTATAACACAGATGAGGCAAAGTTGGATACAATAGATGGATTGTGATAGTTTTAATGATGTTCAATGATCGCAGGAGATGAGTGCACAAGCTACTCCATATTATATGATCATAATAGGCAACGTTATACCTTGCAAGGAAGGATGGAAGATATATTATCATATCAAAATATCAATGTTAGTTTGAGGACTAAAACCACCGTCTGTTACTATCGAAGAAGGGGGTTATAATGTCCAAGCGGCAACCTAGCCATACTTACCGTTTGCAAAAGAGTCAGTGATAAAAGTAAACTAAAGTCCTTCTAATAAGCATAAATCGAGGCATTGCAATCATATTTAGGCCTATAGCGAGGACAGCTTAAATGATTTCAATGCAACTGTTAGCTCTTGTATTACCCAGAAGATTACCTATTATACATAAGAATATCTGGCGTCCAAATGTATTTTGCAGGAAGTCTAATACTCGTGATATTACCGTAGTCTGCAGGATTCCAATGCAGCTTATAATCAACCCATTCCTATGTACAAGGGAAGTAAATAAGTTCAACTTGACGAAATTGTTGAACTGTTTATTGTGGTTAGTCTTGAAGCATCTGCAATGAAATTGTTGATTTTCTTCTGGCCTAGATATTATATCTGGTAGGTCTGATATGTCTACGGGGAACTATGGGCCCGGGACAATGGGACTTTCAAATAACGGCCGTTCGGTATTTTCCAAATAATCATTGGAGAATTCAAAGTCTTGGGGAACCCAGCTGTGTAAAAGAACTATACTTATTATGGATGTGCATGTGCATGTCTCCATTGTCCACATGGTCGTATCTTAAGATATAACAGCATAACAATAAATAGTAACTACACATACCCCCTCTTATTGCAAATTATAACCACAAGTTACGACCAAAACGAGGACACAGGGAGTTATATTTTTTGAAATACGTCATGATTTTCCACACAAATCATGCCATTTCTCCATCTATTGTAAAAATAGATGAACGCAACACAACACAACTGCAGCCCAACAGATTTAATGTTTTGTTTAAATAGTGTTTACAAAACCTTCCATATTTGATTTTAATGACTGCTCAATGACTATAATATTTAAAGGTTATGTCACTATTGTTGCATATATGCCCGAGGGTTTCAGTGATATATGGCCCGACCTTGGGAGGGACATTGATCACTGAGAACCGAGGGCATATGTGCAACTATAGTGACATAAACGATTTATAACATACCTATGATGATATAGTCTGGTCAGAACGTACCGTTTTCTTATCTTATTGACTAGCAATGGTTCGGAAATGATGATTTATTCCCATGTTTGTATCTTACGAATGTACGATCAATTTGACCTAGGCCTAATGTATGACGTAGTCCCAGCGCTTGACCAACCAGAAAGTTAGCGGGCGCGGGCTTTTCAAAAGTTATATTGGCCCGCTGTCTTGTGAACAGTTTACACTATACGTCATCATAGGTATGTTATAATAAATTATATTACATATAATAAACTATTAAATTTTGTATTTGGGAGTTGAATTATGTTGCATTCATCATCAACAACTGAACATCTAGTAGAACAAAAATCAAGAATAAATAATTCTGTGCAAAAGGTAATGTGACAACGGGCTGTGGCTACACCAAAGAATAGTAAGCATGCTGGAACGTCAGAAAATAACAAGAGTAAACAAACAAAATGCTCTTAAACAACTTTCATTTGACTTTTACGACTCATTTCTGGTAGATCAATGCAGTGTTGTTTTTATTGATGGCTAAATAAGAGCAGTTTGTCAAAAAACGAGAATTCCTGGAGTAAACACGGTGTATTACCTATTATACATTAATATATCTGGTGTCCAGATTTTTTTAGCTGGAAGACGAATACTTGTAATATTTCCATAATCCTCTGGATTCCACTTAAGCTTATAATCAGTCCATTCCTGCATAGAAACAAATTTGTGAAATTATGTTAAAATTATCAAAGTGTAGACAATTAAAAAAGCGTAATTGGTCATTCATAAAGCAAAACCACCTTCATGCTCAACTCGTTATTGCTCAAGTATGATCAGGTGAAGCAAAATTTTGCAGATATAAATAAAAAGGTTAGTGATAATATAAATTTATAATTTCGATACCCATACACATTCATAAAGGAACATATATGTAAACGTAACAACAAATTAACTGAAACAAAAATACATCAATTAAAAATGCCACGACAAATGTATGTTCTTCTCTAGAAACTCAGTGACAACTACAATAAAAACAACAGCAATCATGCTATATTTATCAGCTGCAGTGCCATTGATCATTTGATTATGTTTACCTATTATACATCAATATATCTGGGGTCCATATTTTTTTGGCTGGAAGACGAATACTGGTAACGTTACCATATTCGCTTGGGTCCCATGAGAGTTTGTGGTCACTCCATTTCTGGTTGGCATTAATTAATGACACATGATGAGAAATTGTTTTTAGTAATGCTATATTTGTCGGAATGAATTCTAAATATTCAAAGTTTAAATATTACATCTTATCATAATATTACATTTATATAGAAAATTGGCATTATGTTAAGAAATATACTCACATAGTTTAACCATACGTTAGTATGTAACATCTCGTTCTTTTCGTCCTGTAAAATCAAGAAATAAAATGTTATATGTGCTATTTAATTCCTCACTTTCTTATTTCCTTGTCACGTGTAGTCAGAGAGTGTGGAATATGACAGTAAATGATAATAATGAAGAATATTTATCTTCAATGTCATAATTATTAAAACAGCAATTACTTGATTCATTTACAACTTATATATTGTAATAAAGAATTTCTAAACTAACATTTTACTCATATTCAAATAATACAAATAGTTTAGATTAAGAATACTGTGTAAATAAGCACACACACACTTTCTACAGTTACGAAGCATCGCATTAACACACGTGCTGAAGACTATGGCACAAAAAACAGTACAAACAAAGAGATACATTTATGATACATTTAGCTCGTGGCATTCCCTATACAGTATACAGAATAGGGACCAGGTATGACGTCTAAATGCATCATATATTCCACTCATATTATTGTGGTTATTTTTGGTCAATTAATGATGATAAATAATAAATTCAAAAATAAATAAATAATTTGATTAATAAATAATAAATTACGAAAATGATAATAAAAGGTTTGAATGATAAAGCCGATTGTAGGTTCCATATAAATCGTATGGCTAATGTTAATCCCATTGGAAATATCTACTAAGTACTAAAGGTAGAATTTACTATTCCTGTTGAGTAAAAATCAAAGTTTGCATCAAATAGTATTGTTTCATACATTATCTAGTTTATCTAATGTCTACTGAAGTGTTATAAAAGAAATGTAACCTGATACATGGTTATTTCGTCTACAACATGTACAAGTAGTCCAGATAGGAAATAGGTTATGGAATAATATCAAAATAGTTTTCTACATAATTCAATATCTACTAAAATGAGAGCAAATGTGATTGTTATTATCTAAAGAAAGAGTATCCCACAAAGGAAATAGGTTATGGAATAATATCAAAATAGTTTTCTACATAATTCAATATCTACTAAAATGAGAGAAAATGTGATTGTTATTATTTATACTAAGTATATCCCACAAAGGAAATAGGTTATGGAATAATATCAAAATAGTTTTCCACATAATTCAAAATCTACTAAAATGAGAGAAAATGTGATTGTTATTATTGTTATTATTTATACTAAGAGCATCCCACAAAGGAAATAATGGAATAATATCAAAATAGTTTTCTACATAATTCAATATCTACTAAAATTAGAGAAAATGTGATTGTTATTATTTATACTCAGAGTATCCCACAAAGGAAATAGGTTATGAAATTATATTAAAATAGTTTTCTACATTATTCAATATCTACTAAAATGAGAGCAAGTGTGATTGCTATTAATTATACTAAAAGTATCCCACAAAAATAGTTTTCTACATCATTCAATTTTTTTACTAAAATGAGATTAAATGTGATTGTTATTATTTATACTAAGTGTATCCCACAAAGAAAATAAGTTATGGAATAATATCAAAATAGTTTTCTACATTATTCAATTTCTACTAAGAGTATTCCGAAAAATGGATTATGCCATGGGGGAGTTTGGTGTACATCTACAATGGACTACACTAAAGAATTGTGGTTTAATTTCTCTGTAGTTTTGGGACAGGGTTCCATTAACTTACAACATCAATGATCTGTTGCAAAGATAGCCCATATTTAACTTCAAGCGTGTCCGTCTCTTGGGCAACGGGTCGAGCTAAGGATTGATAATTCCTGCCCTCGGGACTAAATATGTCATTTATAAGCCTTTCTTCATGTGGACCTTGCTTTGACTCTGTTAAATAAATGCAAATCAAACAAAATAACTAATATCATAACGACATGTAAGCTTTCTCTGTACTTTTATATACCTGAAATAAAAGAAAATGGCGAAACAATAAACAAAAATATACATTCAGAGCTGGCAACAAGCAAACCAAGCTTCACACCAACGCCATACCATCTCACCTCCTTTTATCTTGATATTGCCCATATAGCGTTTAGGGAAGGTCATGCATATATAGCATTGGTGTGATATACATTCATTTTGCAATGTCCTGTTTAAGCACCACATCACTTACAACTCCAATAATTTGTTGCAACGATATTCCAAACTCTACTTCTAGTGATTCACTTTCGTTGGCCACAGGCCGCGCAAGATTATTGTAATTGCGCTTTTCTTTGTGGAATATTTCATCTATGAGTCTTTCTTCGTGTGGGCCCTGTTCTGACTCTATAAACAGTATAGAATAATTGTCTTACAACAACACATATTTGTTATATTGATATATGTCTCGTTTGAGTAGTATAATTTTGTTCTATTTCTTAACCAACAAATAAGTGTAACCTCAACATTGTTGAAATTGATCATTTTTTGGTACATGCTAATATAGAACTAAAAACTAGAATGTCTGTGTCGCTAGGCATTCCAACAATGGGTAATGGATGAACCACTCCGGAGAGAGCTTCAGGGTTATATAATTTGATGCAAACTGGCATGCTAAATAGCAAATATGTAAGTACAGTAACATAAGCATAATTAAGAAAAATAGATGGGAATAGGGATACATAATCAAATCCTAATTATTAATTTGTTTCCTGAGGCTAGAGTACATTTCAACTTTTTTGACGAATCCTTAGATTGAAAGCACCACTCTCAAAGTATCACTTGTATATACTAAAATTCATAAAACTAAGTAGTCATAGACTTTATACGACATCACTTCAAATTATTCATTCACTCCTTTCCGAAATACTCCCAAAATAATGAATACATACAGGGTGTAATAAATATATGTATTATGTAAATGCAACAAGGTTTGTCTTGTTTTACAAATATTTAAATCAATAACTTTTGCTGAAAATAACAGATACTGGGTCACTCTTTAAACAATTAATAAATTACTAGTACCTTAATATTCTACAATCTACGAATGTATTAACAGACCGAGAAATACGCCAGACAAAATTTTAAACATGTTTGATAGAAACAGCAGTATATAGAGGGCATTGTATATACACCACGTATATGTTGTGAAATTTAAAACTAATTATGTCGTATATTATATCCTATATTTTCTAACCTTGGTCCAAGGGTATTTCAATATTTCCATACTGAGCTGCGACAGTAGCGAAGCCCTTTCTTGAAGGATGAGTTTTGGCATAATATTTGAGACTTCGAATTTGGTTTACTAGTACTAGTTTATTAATACTAGTTTGTAGAAATATTAATAAAATAACAAATAGTGTAATATAGATCATATCAAGATTCAAAATACAATTGGCTAGAGTGTAAGAGAACGTGTGCAGAGTAAACTATGCAACTTTACTATCGTTTTACAGTTTACAAGTGTACAAGTACAAGTATCTGCACATCGGTATATACACTGAACGTGAAAATAGCTGTCTAAAACTATAAACCAACGAAATCTCAAGTTGAAAAACTATTCCGGGAATTATAAAGTTATTGCTCTGCGAAACTTTTTGCAAGTGTATTTACACCCTATGCAGACAGAGCCTGTGGGAAATATTGGGTGCGGAGCAAATAAACGGAGGGTGCGGAGCTAACGGTCATTTTTGAATTTAAATTTGGGATATTTCTGAAACTAAGCCGTTTTGGGACTTCAAATATACCAAGATATGTGTATTTGACACCAAATATCAATACAATTGTGAAAATAGTAGCGCAATTCATTCTATAGCGACGCAGTGTGCCTTAAACCTTTCCCAGACCTATATATTTTGAAATTATCCTTTTAATACTGAGTCCCCAGCATTCATAAAAAATGGTGTTCAAGGTGCACTATCTATACAAATTATTTTTGCATCTTGGAAGCCAGGCAGTATCTGTGTGATTTTATAAAAATTCGGAAATGTTCTTCAGATATGAGCCCCTCTAAATATTGGGTGCGGAGCAGCTCCATAAACGTAGCTCCGCACCCAATATTTAGAGGGGCTCATATCTGAAGAACATTTCCGAATTTTTATAAAATCACACAGATACTGCCTGGCTTCCAAGATGCAAAAATAATTTGCATGGGTAGTGTATCTTGAACACCATTTTTTATGAATGCTGGGGACGCAGTATTAAAAGGATAGTCTCAAAATATATAGGTCTGGGAAATGTTTAAGGCATACTGCGTCGCTATAAAATGAATTGCACTACTATTTTCACAATTTTATTGATATTTGGTGTCAAATACACATATCTTGGTATATTTGAAGTCCCAAAACGGCTTAGTTTCAGAAATATCCCAATTTTAAATTAAAAAATGACCGTTAGCTCCGCACCCTCCGCTCATTTGCGCCGCAGCCAATATTTCCCACAGGCTCTGTCTGCATAGGGTGATTTAGAAATGTTTGAAAATGCCATGATAAAAAATGATAAGGAACCACACGTCATTCTGCTAAGAGGGACGACCAGGGATTGTTAGTTCAAAGTCACGCAAGTCAAAAGATGTTTTAGTAGAACAGAATATTCCTCTATTACAAAAATATTCTATATCATAATATAATACAATATAATCCATAATTATACTTCAAAGATGTTCATAGTTTTATTATTGCAAATATTTACTATTATATATTAGTATATGAAAAATTGCGTTTTTGGTTAATATTGACTGATAAATCAACCTTTGATCAAAATCAAGTCAAAAATTTAGAATATCAACTCGTAAAACCGAGATTCTATTATTCATATGATATATGATATTTTATCATATATTAAAATACCGAAGGCGCAAAGGAGTAGGCTCTTAGGCAAAGGACTATATGAAATTCAATGTCATATACTGCCATAAGTCATAGAATCGAGGTCTTTGTTACGATTCTAATTTGATAAACAACTTCAAGGCACTTTCATTTTCAGGTTATCATAACGTCCATTTATCATATTAGAATACAAAAGCTACTTGTCAGTCCTATTTGGGAACTTGGCAAAGCGTTGAATTCAAAACACTCTTACAGGTGAGTTCTACAAAAGTAATCAGTATTTAGTATATTTTGTTAATTTACATGTTAGGCCATTGTGGACTACACTGTCATTGAATTCGTTATATATGTGTATCTTTATGAGACAATAAGTTATAATGATTCTAAAGGAGATAGCTTACGAACTTACATTTAGTTTCGTATCTGGCCTTTGTATGTATCGCACAAGTCGAGGTTGAGAAAAATTCTGATCTAAAGGCAGTGCTACTGAATCAATGAGTCGATGAACTAACTATAGTTTCTATTCTATCGGATTAGTCAGAGTGTAGATATTCCTTTTTGAATATAGCCGGGTCATCAGCGGGGTGCGTCCATAAATCCTGTACAAGCTACGGTGAGCAAGCCGAGCAAACTTTGAGCAATAAGCTATAGTGAAAATATGCATTGAATCGAAGTAGCCTCTCATCATTTGAGATAACGTTACTGACATCTATTGACGATATATGATATTACGATATTGTAAGTAATAAAAATTTAAAATACATGCATGATACATAATTAGAAATGAATCCAGTATTAGAAGCCTAGATATTCATTTAAGACTTTCAGTTCAAAATATTACTTTAGAAAAAAACAAAAAAGGGGGACATTCGAGATTTGAGAGATTTGGTGGCATCTTAAACAACTACAAAACTAGTGATATGCTAACTCAGCATGTACTACGTTGTCGTTATATTACGGCTCCACTCCCCGGCTCCATTATGGTATCTTTAACCTGCACTGGCCGTGATCAAATTATTAGTAGATATAAGAGTAATTTGTTCAATGGAGACATGGGAGTATTTGTCTCAGCACAAATTATTTTACACCATAAATCAACCAGATTGAGAAGGTAATTGAATACAACATGTATAAATCGAGAAACTGTATAACTACTGAAACGCGGGGTATTTCTTGAAAGATGTTCTAAACATATCAAAGAGATGATAGGTCAGAATGTTTAATCCTTTTTGTTTAAAACAACTTATCTGAAATAAAGTTATTAAAGCGAAAAACTGTATTGTGAAAAAGATTTGCTGAAATATGTTATTTTATTGACCCAATATCCAAAGCAGAGCAACGTAGTCATCTTTGATAATTGATATATCCTTGCTCATAGAACATCGTAGGCTTTTAACCATTTTCATTTTTATTCTGAACTGAATGCTAATTTACAATTATAAGCCTAATTAAAAAGCCTGAACTTGTATGGATTGGATGACTTAATTAATTGCAGTTGGCAGGAAGAAAATTTGTGTTTCGATCGGTCAATGGTCTTCTACATCAGCTTGAGATCAGGGTGACAGTTAATATAGATCTGGTCGACCTGTTTTACCGAGCTAAATAATAACCAAGTACTAATAACCAAAGGACATAATTTAGAATTGGTCTTGCTTCACCATGTGATCTTTCAATTGTCTGCCTTCAACATTATGAGCTTAATCTTGTCCTGCTTCAATAAGCGATCATCGAGATCTTGTCAAGCACTTGTCTGGCTTCCCGAAGCGATCATCGAGATCTTCTTTAAGAATGGTCCTGCTTCAATAAGCGATCAGATCATCTAGATGCTTCCCGAACCAATCCTCGAGATCTTATTTAAGAGTGGTCCTGATTCAATAAGCGATCATCGATATGCTTCCCGAAGCGATCATCGAGATCTTCTTTAAGAATGGTGCTGATTCAATAAGCGATCATCGAGATGCTTCCCGAAGCGATCATCGAGATCTTCTTTAAGAATGGTCCTGCTTCAATAAACGATCATAGAGATCTTATCAAGCAATGGTCCTGCTTCACGCGATCATCGAGCTCTTATCAAGTACTGCTTCACTAAGCGATCATCGAGCTCTTATTTAGTACTGTTTCAATAAGCGATCATCGAGATCTTATATATTTAGCAATGGTCCTGCTTTACTAAGCGATCGTCGAGATCTTATTTAGAACTGGTCCTGCTTCATAGTCTTCAACATTTCACGGCGGCAGGTAAAACTTTAGTCTGAGCTCGATCGGCGCAGGCTTTCTACACTAATCGATGAACGAGATCGAATTTAACACTGGACATGCTTCACTTTAAGCGATCATCGAAATCCCCATTAGCAGTGGTCTTGTCTCATTAAACGAGAAAATCTTAGTAGATTGGACATGCTTCAGTAAATGATTATTTAAATCAAATTTAGTTCTATTTCGAACCTCCAGATCCAGTTTCTGTTAACTAAATATAGCAGTTGACTAAAGCGCATCGTTCATCATCACCTCATCAGGGTA